TTTTACCTGATCTGATTTTAGGAGAAATCATCATTATGGATCGATTTTGTTTCTCAAGTAACTAAAAAATTACAGGGTAGCTCATTGGTCCATAGGAATATGAACTGTTGTTTAGTACACCAAATTGTCAGTCATAATTCAAAGATTTGAGTCTCAAACAAACATTTCCTTCCAGATGTTGAGCTGGAAGGCCAATGAGCCACAAAATCACTCACTGCTGAAGTATGTTTGAACAGTAAATTGACAAGAGAACACACCATCTTCTGTGGAAAGCTTTCTGGATGTAGTAGGCTTGCTAAATTTACACTAACGGTTCTATGAAAGCACCAGAAAGTTGTAGATATACAGTAAATACTTCACCTCATCAGAAGCAGTGAGTTAGAGAACAGGGAATAAAAACATATGGTGTTTGTATTCCAATACAGATAAATCCAGCTGTTGCAAGAAAAGCTTCCTGAAAAAGATCTGGTCAGTGATCACCACTGGATTTACCAAACTCCTGTAATCCCTACAGGCTCCCAGTTTTGGCCTTTGTTGTTTCTCATGGTTTTTGTTAATTCTGCAGTGGATTTTCTTTGCTTTGTTTCTTTGTTTTTAGAAAACAGAAGATTATCCCATTCTTCATTTCTGACATCAGGCAAGAATTCCTATTAACTAGGCTTTCCAGGTTGATGTTTGGCAACAGCAAGGGAAGGCAAAAGAAACTGCTGTTTCTGTGGATTAGAAATTCTGAGAAAGTAAGGTTTTCCATTTGAAACATCACATTTGGAGATTTTAAAAATCATCATCTCCAAGTTTCCTGGGCATCAGATATTTTACATCTTTATTCCATTTTTAATAGATAATGGATTCAAAGACATGCCATTTTTAATTTTCAACACGGATCTAGAAAGCTCGTATTTCTTTAATGGGCATTGTATCTCAGATTGACTCTTTGAAATAGTGCAACTTCGTTTTGTGAAGATTCTCATTTGTATCTCCCTGGAAGTTCTTCTCTTTCTACTCATCTTTTGAAGAGGAAAGAGGCACTGGATAGAACCCTACTGTGAACTAAAAGAGGCGTAATGAGAGTGAACTTCTATTTGAGCTCATCATGTGCCTTTTGTAAAAACATGAGGTGACAATGATATTTCCCGCTTTCTTTACAGTGGCTGCAAAATAAAGGAAAAAATAAAGTTAAGGAACACTTGTATTATGTCTACTGAAAGGGCAATAGCTATTATTTGATATATTTCTGAAACACATTAAATTACAAATCAAATTCAAATAATATATTTAACAAAATATTTCTGTGTAATCACACAAGCAAGACTTGTAAATAACAGAGTTCAAAGCTCTGGAGCAGATGGGCTTTCTGTTTTAATTCTTCATCTGATTTGCTGTGTGCCGGTAAATCTCTGAGTTTCATTTGCTTTATTCAAATCCCTTGGCTATTCAGGACACATTGTGTCTGTTGTAGAATGTCAGCTGCTTTATATAGACTCCTAAACTAAAACAAAACATATGTATATTTAGCACACACAAAGAATATGAAAACCAAAATGTTGAAAAAAAAAAAATAATCCTGCACTGGTGACCTGTATAAATCCTCTGTATAGGTGTTATGTACACCTCTAAAGAGAGAAGATGCAGACACTCATGCAATAGGCCAGATTTTAAAAAGAGTTTACTAGAAATTCAAAAGCAAAAAATAGTGGTAAATTAGGAGTTAAATACTTTAAACTTTTACACTACTATAAAAATCTTTCTCTATGCCAATTTTAATTTAATTTAATTTATTTTGCCCAAATACGATTCAATTGGTTTAACTTGATTGCTAGTAATCACCTACACTAACTTTAGAGCTCAGAGCACTGCACATAGAAGTCGTGCCAAGTTAGTTTGGGCTGACTGTTTAGATTTAATAATATTGTTTTTAAAGGATTTAGCTCTTTACTACCTTGTAACATCATACCATCTTTTTGAAAACTTTCTGGACATAAAGCTGGCTTGGAAAAAAATAATCTTCTTTCCAAATATGACTATAACACTTTCCACTGAGATGCACATCAGCTTATATTGAGTTACCAACAGATCTGTAGTGGATCCCTAACAGTCTTGGACTTGATAAATGCATTACCCTTAGTTGTGTTCGGGTAGGACAGGGAAAGAAAATAAGCATTGTGAGATGTGTCTTTCCCTTAGCACTTGTTCTTTGAAAGAGCATTCCTGTTGCTAACAAATTATATTTGTCTTTAAAAGACTCGACATTTTCTTCTGTGATTTTTCCCTTAAAAGCCAGTTATTTTGTTACCACGGTCCATCACAAAACAGCCTATTTGTTTGATTACATCCAAATATTTTTAGCATTTACTATGGAATGACATGATAACTGTGATAACAACCCTTGAAAAGAAAAGAGAAAATCTGGGTTACATGTGAGCACTGATGGACAGAAATCTCAGCCATGGAGGAAAAATAGTTTTGTCCTACTTTCTGAGCAGATGAGAATTAGAGACAGAATGAACCACTTCCAATTTTAGGTCAATATTTTCACCCAGGGAGAACTCCGAAAAACATGTCATCCTTTGGCATGCAGCACTCATGTCTGTGGAGGCAAAGACCATCCTGTGTAACCCTTGACACTTTTCTAAAATAAAAACAGTTGCCATTGTTTATATACCAATTAAAATAATTCAAGAGGGGAAAATGTGGTATGCGAGGTTATGTCTCTTTGGCTCTGAAGCTATTCCAGCTACCCATTTGCTCTTTATGGCACAGAGGTGCATGAACTTCTGCCATTGAATCATTTATTTTTTACTCTGTCTGTCTGTCTCTCTGTTTACAGATACATAAATGCAGCAAATATACATAAAATTTATTTGTTCATACGAAATAAGGGGAAAGTGAAATACTGGAGCTATGTTGAAAATGTATTTATTTTTGCAAACACACTACTTGTCGAGACTAAAAGAGATTCTGTGTGTATACACACACAAGGTCATTGTAGATAACGTAATTACCTCTCTAGTGATAGGGCAAGGAATCTGAGCTGTTTTACAATACACAACTTCCATGTACTTTAACAAAAAAACCTTGCACTGTTTTTGTAAACTCAGGAAAGGGTCTCAGCCTACTTGTTGCTTAAGCAAAACTCTGACATTTCACGTTGAGAATAAAAGCATAGTAAATATATTAGCAAAGAACGTGAAAACATTGCATATTTGGAAAATACCTTTAGCCACTAAGAGACAGTCTGCATGTTCATGATTTGAAAACTCATTTAAAATTCCCTTGGGAAGTCACTAGGTTTTCCTGTTCCCTACTTTTCTGTGCACTGCTAGCAACCTTGAAGCAAACTAACATGAACTATATTGCAGATGCCAGGAAACAAAGTAAAAAGTCCATTGCAGATCTCTTTAAAATAACCTGTGGCTACTTAATGCTGATGATAAGAACTGTCAGGACTTGGTAAACTAAGGGACTTTGATTAAAAAAAAATAATAATAAAAAAATGCTTTCCTAGTGCTTAGGGAAATCATTGCAGTGTTTAGCCTGTTATAAGTCAGGCATTCATCCAAAATGACTGCCACCTTGGAAGTTATTGCCAGCCTTAGCTATGGTTTGTAGGATTAAATCAAATCCTTCTCATGATGTTACAAAAACAAACAAATCATGTGTTCTGTGAGTATGTGTAGACTGTGCAATATTTGATTTAAAAACCTGGGTAAAGCTTGCAATAGATAGGTTAAGTGTGACATAGGATACTAACTCAAGTTATCTCTGGCAAAATGTGTGGATTTTGCATCCCTTGGGGCAACATCATAGGAAGGAGCAGAAACTGGATCGGTGATGGCAATAGGAGGGGAAGAGAGAAAGTAAGCAGTATTTGAGATCCAGTAGGTGCATATAATACGAGGATTTTTCTCCCCCCATGGATGCTGGCAGCGCCTTATAAGTAACAGATAGCGAGGAGCTGGCATTATCTTTACTCCGAGCAGAGCTGAGGCAGCTGACCATGCCGCGCTCCCGGCACTTCGCAGCGCCTGCCACTTCAGCAGAAGGCTGGGAGCGATGAGAGGTGCCTAGAGCCCGAGCACCGGTGCCCGCAGGTGAGCAGCTGCGCGGCGCGCTCGCGGGGCGGCTGCACCCAACTTTCTCGTCGCTTCTCTGCACGAGTAGCGGCGCCCTCCCAGCGCTCCTACTTTGCTCCAGGAGGCCGGGAGGGTCCGGGGGGGGGGGGGTCCCAGCCCGGCCCTGTTCCTGCAAGCCCACGCGTGGCCCGGGCAGAAGCGAGAGCTGGGGGAGCTGTCCCGGCTGCAGCGCCCCGAGGGGCTGCGGGGGGCGTCCCCGGGGGACACCGGGGGTCGGGGGGGGAGGTCGGGACGGACACGCAGGGCACGGCTTTGGGGCCACTCCCCGTAAACGCGGCGTCCACCGGCAAAGGGCGTGGGACAGCGCCGGGGGGGTGGGGAAGCAGGTCCCTATACCGGTTTCCTCGGGGTCTGGCCCCAAACGCAGGTTACCTATGGTTAATTAGGATTGCAAAGCATCCCTGGCCCCATCTGGCTACATGCATAGGCTACCGGCCCGGCTCGGTAGGTATATGCGGTCTATAGGCGCACACGCGTAGTGCTGCATCTTCTACGTTTCCAGCTAGCCTTCATTCATCTTTGTGCCGCGATTCAATGCTTGATCAAAGGTTGAATGCTAACGCGAGCCGCTTGTATTTTTGTAATGCACGGCCCTTAAAATAGAGTGTTTTGTAAACTGTAGGTGTCAAAAGGTTCCCAGTCCAGTCGTGTGTCCCCCCCCCCCCCGCCCCCCGCGCAGCCGTGCGGCTACCCTCCCCAATAACAATAATGCTGCAGATTGGAGAAGGATTTGAGGCTGCAGCCAGAGAGAAAGGGATTAGGGCGAGAGCACTGAAAGTTAAATTGTGCTGCATATAAAAAATGGGCGGATTGGTCTCTAGATGAGAGTTTGGTACCACCTTCCTTTCTAAAATAAAATCTCTCTGGCATGAAGTCACAGCCTATTTCACATCCGGTTTACCCTGGGACGTATTACTACTGTCTTGCTAAAGAGAAAGCTTTTGTTGTAGAGAGCGGCGGCCGGAATACCGGCAAGGGAGATTTGGCTGCTAAAAGCCCGGAGGAGCGGAGCAGCGGCGACGCCGGCAATGGCCGAGGCGGAGTGAGCGGCGGGGCCGGAGCCGCGCAGCCTCCGCGGGCGGGCGGGGACCCCCGGCACAGCCGGGCAGCAGACCCGCGGGGCTCCTGGCAAGGGCAGCTGCACTCGAGCGCACCCCCGAGCGCGCCCGGCTGCTGCTGCTGCGGGCTCCGCGGCCAGGCGCGGCTCCTCCGCCCGCTCTCCGCAGGTACAGGCGGCCGCTGGCGTTTGCTTTATTGCCTCTCTCCCCCCCCCCCCCCCCCCCCTTCCTCCCTCCCTCCGGCTGGAAAAGCCGCAGCGATCGATGGGTGGTTAAATTTATTTGGGGTTCTTTACCTTTGAGCGTGGACGGATTTGCGCCGCTCCCCTTGGAAAAGGTTTATGGGGTTGGGGGCTTTTTTTTTTTTTGCCCTTTTTTTTTTTTTCCTCCTCTCTCTCTCTCGAGGGAGGCGGTGGGAGGGGTGGCTGCTCAGGGTGAGGGGGAAATACAAAGTTGAAATGCCGGGAAGAAAACAAGCCGCGATTTGCACCTCAGAACTGTGCAAATCTCTCACTGGGGGTCACAATGCATCAAAATGCCTATTGTTTTTTTTTTTTTTTTCTTTCTTTTTTTTTTTTCCTTTCATTTTCTTTTTCATTTTTCCTTTTTTCTTTTTTTTTTTTCTTTTCTCCCTTCCAGTGAGCGCTGCTGGAATTCTCCCAGACGCGTGGCTTTCTCCCATTTTCAAGGGGAAAACCAGCGCTGGTTGCACAGGCGGTGCGGGCTGGGGGAGGCCGGGGGCAGGGGCTGCTGCTGTCTGACACTCTGTGCAAGTCTTTAACGTTTGTTTTTTTCCAGCTGCAAGAAACTTTTCCTTGTCCTGGGTTTTCAGTGCCTTTATGGGTTCATTGAAGCAGGGGCTGGTGTTGGGGGGCTTGGAGGGGAGCGCATGCGGAGCTCAACAGATCAAGATAGTTCAAAATAATTCACTTTCCATTCCTTATCCCAAGAAGGCTTTTGCAAAGGCAGAAGTTGGCAGGACTCGGAGAAAGCAAATTTTGAAGCCACAGATGTTGCCTCTCTGTAAGGGGCTGATCGCAGCACAAGTTCGGATGCAGTCTCATCCCTGAAAATCATTATTCCTGCTTTCATGCCACATTCAGCTCCTTCCCACCCAGTTAGGTTAGCTTATCCCCACTCGATGCTTATCTGATGATCATTTGTCTTTAAACGTATTAATTATATCTCACTGCTTACAGGCAGCTTTGTAATGATATTTTATTGATTTAAATTGTCTCTGAGAGCGTGCAGTGAATTGGGGTAGCTTTATTTAAAAATACAAAACATTTCCATGATAAGTGCTTCATATTCTCAGGCACTTGGAAAACTCCACTATTGTGAGGAAATTACAGGCTTCAGATTTTGTTTATTTAATGTAATGAATGTTAAAAATCGACTGGATTCCTGCACACAGTATAGATATATAAAGAGATATGTAAAGAGACCTGCAGCATCTCCTGGGGAATCAGTTGAATCTGGAACACCAAACCTACAAATACCAGCTAACTTTGTATTTTATGATTTGTTGGAAAGCAAAAGAAACGTTCTGGGTTTTATTACTTTCTACTCAAAGGTAAGCTGAGAGTAACTCACTCTGGGGAGAGGACAGGAAATGTTTGGAGAGGAGGAAAAGGCTGCTAATGCAAAAGCACTTCCTTGCAGCCATCAGAGGCTGGTAGAGACTTAGGAGATGGTGTGTAAGCACATGGTTTCTTTATGAACTGAGTCCTTTAGCCTGACAAAAATGTTAGTGTGCATACCTAGCAGTAGATTACAGTCAGAATCTGGTGTTTGTAACTCCTTCTCTGACACAAATATTTTAGGGAAGGGGGAGTGGTAGAAAGAAAGTCGCTTCCATCACACCAAAGTGAAGCGGGGGCTGAGATGGAAGCACCGCTCTCCTCAGTCACACAGCCACATGCTGATACCTTCCAAGAGCTGTGGAAGGACTCAGGCTGCTTCAAATCAAACAAGAAACAATTAACACTCGTTCTCTGGAAACATTAGGGAGCTGCCTTGTCGCTTTTGCAATACAGGAAGAAACTGAGTAAGAACTCTCACAGACTTTGGGGACAGCAGCTTTAATTCGTAATTGTTTTTGTTTAAGTTCAAGAATAATGCTGACAAGAATGCCTCCTTACCACACAATAAATCCCACCCAAGGCTTCCATGTCCAAAAGCAGAAGGTAAACAAAACAGCCATGGCCATTCTCCTTTATACTGAATGACATGAAATAGAATATTGTGAGGTCATTGTCTGACATCAAATTATTCTGTAAAAGTTGCGTAAACTGGATGTTCTTTTTCCACAGTACCTGTTTTAATGCAGGAGTCATTGATGATTATTTTTCTTGCAGTTTCAGAGTCCGCCATGAAGAGAATCCTGGTGCTTTGTGACTGCCTCTGGGCCTGGAGCCTCCTCCTAAATGCACTGACTGAAAGAAGGTGAGGAGATACTTTTTAACGCACCTACATATTTTAGGAACCTTGCATTTAGTATAGAAGCATAAAGCAAATATTTCAAGGGCTGTACTACTACTCAGTGTATTGGGGAAAGTTAATCCCTGTTCAAATCCCAGCTAAATCTAAGAGAAGATTGAAAGAAAACTGCAATTTGTTTGCATAACATCTTTATTTTTTTATTTTTTTCCTTTTTTTTTTTCAATATTGTGAATGAAAAAAAACAAAAGCTATCTGAAACAAATTAAACTACCTTTAAAACACCTAGGCAATTCTTTATACTCTTACAGAATGACTGCTCAGAAGTAAAAGTTTCTTTAGAAGAAAAAAATGTAATGTAGCTGTTTAATTTTTAAAATAAATAAATAATAATAATAAAAAAGTGCTACTTATTAACTTTATTATCCCTACAAGCAAGGAAAAACTTTTATTTTTCGGTTGGGTCAGGATTGTGACCTGACTCAGTACCTGTTCTTGCAAAGCCAAAGCAGACCTTCCTGGGGAAGGGGACTGTTTGAATAAGGAAACATTTGCAAGCTCAAACACCCAAACAGTTGATGCATTTGAAAGACAATGCTGTACTGAATCTCTATGAAATATATGTTGAAGACACAATCTAAAAGTGACTATCATTTGTAATTGTATGACAGCTTACCTAACAACTAATAGATTAACTAAAGACTACAAAGCAGTTTGGAGTATACTTGAAGTACTCTATTCAATTCAGAATTCAGTAAAGGGATTCGAGAAGACTCACAAATATATTTCTGGGTTTTAAAAATATTAAAGTCCCACCAATAATGATACATAATGACCAAAAAGTATTAGCAGTTTTGTATTGTCAGTAGTGATACCTAAAGGATGTATTTGGTCTTGATGTCCATAGTGTCTTCTTATACACTAGTGGCTCTAGATAAACTTATCTTCCGGCTACCCTGAAGTATTTAAATATAAAGGTGTGGGCAAAGGGGCAAAGGTTCATCAGCACAAGTGTTTTCTCTTGGGGAGAGGAAAAAAAAAAAGAATAAAAGCAGGTGATTAATGCAACAATTGTCATCTGGAATAAAGATAATATTTATAAGAAATACATTTATCCTGGTAATATATTAAGAAAGGTGAGATTTGAAGTATTCACAAAGTATTTCATTTGGCCTACCTAGAGAATACTGTGAAACTGTGTTTAGCTGTATCTGTACCTATATATGTGTAGGCATATATGTATTTATTTGTAATGTATGCAAGTCTATTCTTAACGTGAGAATTTAAATGCATTTGACTAGTATTTAAAAATTATATGGTGTGTCACTATTATAATGACCTGTAGGTGGAGTTAGTGCACAGTGTTTTATTATACTGTGGTTTAATATGAACACAATCATATACAGTCACATTTTCCTCAAGATGTACATAATTTACATTAAATTTATCTGTTTTAAAGTCATTTTGTCATAGTAACTTTGCTTGCCTTTTCTTCTGGATCACTGTTAATTCTTTAAGAAAAAAATCATCAAATTAGATATAGTGTCTGTGATGCAGAACAGTCTTTCCATATCATTCATTCTTTTCATGAAAAATAAATTTAAAAAAAAAAAAACAACAACAAAACACAAAACAAGCACACACAAAAAAAACCAAAATGGCATTAGGAATATTTTAACATGACTATTATGACTGAAAAATTACAATCTCTGTGGAGTTACGGTATACTTTATAGGTATACAAACGTTCAGATTCTTCCTGTTGTGACCATATGTCAGTTAAAATCAGACCTGATGGTGCTTTTTGCCTCTGAAAAAATGGTGAAAGGAACAGGTAAGGGTACTGACAAATGTGTCAGCCAGAATGGAAGCGGTGTATTGTATTGCATCCTTTCACGTTGCACTGCCACTAAACCATCTTTCTGATGCCACTCCTGCAAATATACACATTTATTTACCCCTAGAATTTCTGAAGTGTTATTATATCCTTTTTCCACCTTTATCCTGATGACCTTCTGCTATCCTTGAGATATGTATGTGCAGCAGCTTGTTTACTGGTGGTGAGTGGTAATATAGAATTTAATCCTGTGAAAAGTCCTCTGTTGCAATTCTACATAAGATGTATGAGAAAAGATCCTTTGAAAGATACTGCTCAATGGAGACAGCAGGAGAACTTGTTATTTGGTAACATATAGGAAAATTTAAAAAATAACATCTGTGACTTAAAATGGAACTATGGGTATAAAAAATAAGTATAGACCAACCTAATTTTTATCAAGTGAAATTATATGATATATGGCTAGAAGGAATTCATAGTATTTTTATTTTTTTAAACTGTTAGAGATTTTGTCTTCTTCGTTAGGAACAGTGATGTGTATGCATTAAAATACCCTGAAAATTGTTCTCAACAGTCACATACTCTGAGTGTCAGTTTTAAAATTTGTCCAAATCTGTAGCATTATTTATTGAAATCTGAACTCCAAAATAGCTTGGAGGCATTTCCAGAATATCTATATTCACAGTATCAGTGTACCTTTCCTCCTTCTTTCTGGATTTGATACAAGTGAGATGATTTGATACACACAAGATACACAAGGATACCTGACTGATTGTGGTTTACATAAAATAATGTTGCAGATATTTTAACAGAAACATATTATTTTGAATATCAGTAATATCCTTTGCAAGGTGGTCTTCACTGGTGAGAGCAGGAGTAACTGGCAGAGCACTGAGACCCATGTAGCACCAGAGCTGTATGGATAACAGGCTGCCTAAAGAATCACTTGTGTGGCTAGAACTGATCCTAACAGAAGCTTTTGGTATTGAAATGTTGATCCAGTTCAGCAGCAAGTGTGAGAAAGTGCTGTTTTGGAAGGCAGCACTTTGTATTTCAGTTGTGATGACTACATGTGTTGATAATGGAAGTCTTGCCAGCATTGAATGAAAAAAGAGTACTGGGTTTGGCTTTAAGAAAACTGTAAGCAATGATTAAGGGAATTATCCATGAAAGGGTGTTTGGTGAAGGTTTCAGATTTACAAAAAAAGTTTGATTCTTATGCCATTTGCAGCAGACAGAAACCAGCAAGCCCAAGGACTTCATTCTGATTTCTACTGATGGAAGTAAGATTTTGGTAGTAGATTTCAAAGAGCTTAATTCTATCCTCATTCAATGAAAATTTCAGGACCTTTATCTGAGTTAGAGATGTACATTAGGGATCTGTAAGTGAAGCTTTATGGACATGACAAATTTCCATATCAACAGATGATTCCATTACACATTTGTAAGGAAAAGTTGGAGACATTCTTCTGAATGAAATCACTAGAGAAAAATGGGAAATAAGGCAAAATTATATATTGTTCTATGAAAGTATACACTCAAATGATTTACTTGTAAGGATATCTTTGTGGGGTTTTATTTTTGTTTTAGCATTTATTTTCAGTACTTAAATATCAGTGTTCTAAATTACTGTATCTTTCTTATGCAAACCCTTTATGACTTTTGCTGTAAATGAGCCTTTTACTGAACGTGTTGGAATATTAAAAACATTAATTAATAATGAAATAAACATTAAGCAATTTAAGTTATATTTGCTCACCGTTTATGGAAAGGTACTAGTTTTGTAAGATTTTACTAAAAATATACAATTAAAAAGAAAATGTTTAAGTGAAAAGACCCTATAAATCTCTATATTGTAGTTTTATGGAGGAGATTTTGTGACCATAAGTCAGTAGTAGTAAGATTAAACACATTTTGGAATTATTGTTTTATAAGTTTATTGGTTGATTACTGTTTTTCAATTTTAACTGTTATGTATTTCAGCTATGGGCAAACCTCATCACAAGATGAACTTAAAGACAACACCACAGTGTTTACCAGAATATTGGATCGTCTGCTGGATGGTTATGATAACCGCCTGAGACCAGGACTGGGAGGTGTGTTAAAATTTTCAAGATTACATGCTTAAGAAAAATCAGTTAAAATAATGTTATTTTTCTAAGATATACTTACTTTCATTCAACTTATATATACATAAAATAATGCTGATATTTAAATCCATTTTTTTCACAAGTGCCATTCTGTCTTCTACATACTGTTTTCACCCATTTATAAACTCAAAAAGAAGAAAATGGTTCACAATTCAAGAAGACCTCTGAATACTTACTAAACTTTTAAATGTACGAAGAATAAAAGATGTGATCTGACAAATGAGAAAAGTTTATGAATTTGGCCAAAACAGCACCTCTAAATACGCAAAAATCCTACCGACTGTTTTCATAAGAGGATTTGGTTTTCAAAGAGAAAACATCAATCAACCTTAGTCACATAAATGTCTCAGAGAAGTTTGTAAGTTTTTGGGGGGTATGTCAGAATTTGTTTCTTTAACATTTTGTCTTCACAGGTTGGTAAAATGTCTTTCTTCTGCTCTTGGAGCTGAATCCATAAAAAGGTATAAAACCACATAGCAATTACATCTCTATAAAAATGTTGTTACAAAGTCTACTCTTTATCAGCATCTCTACATTCCAATTGACTCTGATATGTTCTTCAGTGATATCAGTCCAAAACGGGGTCTTAAAAAGACGTTATTCATAAAGTTGGATGTTCTAATTGTTTGTTATTTTAAAAATCTGTTCTTTCCAGTGCATGGAAAGGACAGCTTTATTTCTTTTTTTCACACATCACTTTTTTTTTTTCTTTTGGATTGTCCAAGTAAAACAAAACAAAGCAACCCACCCAATCCACAAAGTATAGTTCAACTGATTTCATATACTAGTTTTCAGGAGAATTGCATTATAAAAATAACAGGTCATTGCATTAAGAATTTTGATATCATCTCCTGCAGATGAAAAGAAAGATAATTACAAGTAAGCTTATTCTGTGACTCATGACTACCATCATGCAATATTTCTTGAATTGTGAGACAACTTCTTCTATAGTTTGATTTCATTGACTTCAAGGAATGGCTAGAGATAAAAATCTGTTTATAACGTGTCCAGTAGGAAACACACTTAAAAATGGGTTGGTCTGTATTCTTTTTGTGTGCAATTTCAGATAATACATAAAATACGTATAACTTCTTATCTACCAGTACTTTTGCCTGTTTGCTTGAAATCCTTCAGATTAGTGTAAAAATCAATGCTCCTTAATCTTTGATTAATGCAACAGTAGAATTCAGTAAGCTACTATATCACAGTAAATAAGCATAGCACAGAAGGCAATAAATAAATAAAACTCTGTAAACTGTTTAAAGTCTGGTACATGTCTACAAGAAAAATCTGAGAACACAATGATTGCTTCTATGAGTTTTGTAGCTGTTATGATGATTTGTGTTATAGCTACTAGAAAAGCAAACAAAAGGAGATGCAGGGAAAGGAATTTCTCTCATTCTTCTCTCATTCTCTGGATTGCAGTTTACAGAATTCAGCACTTCAGTGTAGACACTTAGGTATGGGTGTTTACAAATATGTTTTATGAAGTCAAACTTCAAGGGTGTATTAGAAGAAAAGGTCTGAATACCTCATGAAAGGATCACTCAGTCCAGTTAAAATTCACTCCTTACTTAGAGACTATATTATGTAATTGCTTCTATAGGAGGAAATGAATTTCTTCACAAACTTTAATAGCCTTTTGCATCATTAGAAGTTAAAAGAAAAACGAGCAGAGCACAGGGGATAGAGTGGAGGAAAGGCATAATTGGAATGGTTTCTATGAGCTAAGAACCTCAAGATTATGCAATTTTGATATATTTGATTTAGAGACTTTATGTGATGGGGGAATATATGCTGAAATGTTCCATACATAGAAATATCCAGCAAGAAGTCTAAATTAATGTATCCGTTTGGCAGGTTTTTTAGAGGTAGAAGTTCAACAACCTTCTGTTATAGCTTGCTGCAAGTTTTAAATATATGTGAATTATATATATGTGAATATATAATAGTGGTTTCCTTTTTGCTCTCAGCAGTGTCACCGATGGCTTCTTATTAAATATTTAATCCAGACCAGGATTTTTATTATTTACTAATACAAGAACATTTTTAGATTTACAGAATTAGGCCTAAGACTCATTCATTCCATATCAGCTATTATGCAGCTCTGAGAGAAATTAAGAAGCCAGAGACCCTCATATATACATATTATGTTAATGAGTTTTACAGTTAGGCACAGTGTAAATCTTTTTACTCTTGATTACACTATAGCAGTCTTCTAATTATCCAAAATTATCTATTCTCTATTCCCTGTGCATTCGGAGAATCAGTAGATGAAGCAAAACAATGCAAGGTATAGCTACTTTCTCCTACAGAAAGGGCCAGATTGCAATAAGCTTTGTGCTTATCCCTGTAAGACCTCTCCTTACGTACTATAATACTGCAAATATATACACCCGTAGAAAATCAAATTATGTGCTTGAACAGAAGCAGAAAAGAGAACCAGTTTCTCTTTTTTTCATCTACAGAGGAAAAGGTATATGATAGAGTTTCTTCAGTCTGTTTGTTTCCCTTTTCTTATTTGTATACATGAAGAATTCAGTGACAAAAAAAGGTTTGTTTACCAAAAAAATTCGTAATGAATTGTGAAAGGGCTTTGATATTGATTTTGCTCTACTTGCTTGCAAGAGTAATTTCCTCCTTTTTGAAATAAAACCCAATAATTTGAATTATTTCAAATATTATTTGAAATAATATTTCTCTATCCCAAGTTCACAAACCTCCTGTTACTGAGTGGGGTGAATAGTTTCATTGTTACGTGGAAATACCGTGGTGGAGCAGATCAGTAGTGTCAGCATGAAATCTGTAACAAGCTCCTGGTGAGATCTCATTATAAAGATACATTATCAGAGCTATACTGGATATTCATTGGAAAGACAGGTTAAAAGGTGAGGTGTTACGATAATGAAAAATCTAGAAGAGTTGAATTTTGAACCACTCTTTCACCAAGTGTAGAGTCAGTGCTGTATTATTTTTAAATCATCCTTTTTCTTTTGTAACATCTTTTGAGGTATCACTTCAAAAAGGAAAATGAAAAAACACCTATGCTCCATAAAGAGTAAGGTAATCAATGTTAGTATTTGCCAGATTATCTAGTAAGTCAATACCTGAAATAAAGTGAACAGGTCTGAGCATTTTGCCATTAAACAAAGAAAGAGTTACTTCTCATTATAAAGAATAGTTAAAAAAATGAAGTACGTAACCCATGGGGAAAAATTATTGAATATAATTGAATATGCTAATTTGAAAAAATGACATTGTGGCTAAATTTAATCTGATTTTACTTTAAAGGAAACACACACAGTACTTTGTTATGCATTGACACATTTACAGCTGTTATCAATAATTATTGATATAAATTATGTTATTTAGATGCTAACCACCTCCGTACGTGGGCACAGTCACTTAGTCAGGCATCGCTAGGAAATAGCATCTGTTGCATCCATCCATAAACATGGACAAATAACTACATTTACAGTTATTTGTGCTTGGAAAACAGAACTTTTAAAATTAATCTAAAAACATTCTGAATCACACTAGAGGACACCTATTTACTCTACGAGAGGATAATCATTTACAAAAAGCAAGGAGGATGAATTTTATAGAGTAACATTGAAAATGAAAAAGAGGAAATCATGTTAGACATTAAAGTATAAATAAACTGTGAGGTCACTTTGGTAATATAATTTTCAGTGAACTATTTAGGTCGTAGAACTAGGAGTGAAAAGATGCTGTCCTCTTTTCAAACACACAGTCCTGAAGAAAATAAAGGATCAGATAGTAGTGGAAAGGAGTCAAATAAAGAGGAAAAGTGAAGTTGATGTTTGGTGACCTCTCTTGGTAAACCACTATATCTACAGTGGGAGTTTAAAAGAAATAGAAAGCAACAAGAAATGCTGGAAAAAAAGTAAGTTTTGTGGATAAATGAATATTCCATTGACTTTTGTTCTGGATTGTCTTCATGTGGGGAATACATACGAGCTCTGGGATGCCAGTGAGTCAGGTTTGGAATGCCACAAGGCAGAGAGGGCTTGCACAAAGGAGATTCTTTGCACACAGTGCTTGAGATTCAGTAACATGAAATCAAGTTTAGCTACAGATTTATATTTTTTTTTATGCTATCCCATTTGTAGTGTACACATCCCATCTATAAAATTAATGGATATGTGTGACATCTTAGAATAACTATATATGCAGTTTATGCCTATGAGAACAATTTTGCAGTGGAAAAAACTGTTTAATACAGAACTAAGAAGAACTAGAGTGGGTTTGATTAGGCAGATCAGAGTAAAGCTTTCTAACTGAAATTTGCTTTTATAGTTTGGTTGAATTGCCATTAGGTCACACCAAATAGATTATAAATATTACTTTAGTATTGAATGGAATTATATTTTTTTTGTGTTATCAGTAAGAGCAATTTGTTGATCTCTCCACTGTGATGTATATCAAAACTGGGTGTGACTGTCCCTAGGTGGAAAGTTGGTCTATCTTAGGCAATTAATTACTTCCATAGAGTGCTCATATTTAAAATGATGGGGAATAAACCTGACACTATTATGTCAATTAGGTTTTAAAATTCAGTTTTATCAGAACATTATATATTAATGTATAATAAACTTACCTTTTGATGATTGCGGTCTCAACAGAAATTGTTGAATTTGAACTCACATCTGAACTAACTTAGAGTTTAGTGAAAATATGGTTTTGGTTTGCATGTGCAATAAAAATTTAGTTATACCCAAACATTTCTACTCTAAATAAAAAGAGACTTTTACTGGGCCCTTACTCATAATCTGGTGAAGAAGCACTAGATATTACACGTAATTCTGTAAAAGTTTAAGGGGCTTATTTTGGTCTTTTTTCCACACCATAGGCACTGCACTGATGTAAAGAGAACAGTAAAAATCCATAAGAAGACCCAAGGAAAATTACTTTGATACAACAGTAAGGAGGTGGGGAAGATAGGAGCAGCTTTGAGCTGTTAATTGCTGTGGGGATAACTAGCATGACACTGCACAGTTCTCAGTCATCACTTCATAGTGGCATGGACTATGGCAGCTCACTCTTCTCCCTTTTTGGTCTCTGCTTCTGCAAAAGCAGGATCATAAAATTCTTCTTAGTGTTTTTGCTGTGGTTCAACCAAAACAGCAGCACAACTAGTGTGTTTTTTTCTTAATAGGAATGGCATCTGCTAAACAGGCATCTAAACCCCTTTCATTCAAAACCACAGGAAGACTCTTCACCATTTTAACAATTACAACACATGCTTAAACAAGATGTGCAGAGGGAGCAGGTGCATTAATAGAAAAAATGGAATTAATTTAAACTATCAAAGTGAGTAATTTTAATAAATGTTGTGCTCAAATTCCAGCAGGTGAGAAAGGGAAATAGTTAATGTATAGTTTCCTATGATTAATGGGCTTATTTCATGCTGTTAAAATAAATCTTCTCATTTTGTTCTCAATTCGTAATCCAATCACAATTCTAGAAATAATAAGCTCCCTGGGAGTTTAAATCAAAACACTTATTGTTTTTACTTAATAGTTTTGAGAGTTTACATTAGTCTAGCATCCTTAGAAAAACACAGTACTTGCAAACAGTGACACTTCAACAGTTCACACTGACTGATGCTTTCATAGCCATATGTGGATCAAAATCATTTTCCACTGGTATAAACTAGTTTATTGCCTGAGGTTGTGTTCCAGTGTCTAGGTCTTGAACTCAATTGTTATTGTACTGATTAGTAACCACTTGGACCCTATGGTTGCCTTATAGTGTACATCATAAAACATACTGTAAAGCTAGTAAGTTATTAATTTACTTTTTTTTTTTTTTTTTAACTGAAATCCTTACACTTTCTATCCCTATATTCTATTTCTCGTTCATGAGATAGACGGTACAGTCAAGAGACATGCTTAATGTGTCTTCACAACCGATGGATTTATCCTCAGCAGTAAGATCTGCTCCTGGCCTAAGCTTGTTTTGTTCAATGGCTTAGAATTTTCCCCAGTTCTCGGGGACATTGTGATGGTATTGAATATAGCTCAGGATTTGAAGGGCCTGAAAAAAATCTCAATGCATTCTGAGCATTTGAAGCAGAGTTTCAACTTTGCCATGGTAATCAAGCTGCAAACTGAACATGGTTAACCTTGATTCTAAATATATCCCAACTGTATGACTAAACGTATGTTCTGTGCAAGAGTGACTCAACTTTTGTAGCTTTTAACAAAGCACAGTTGAATCATCTAATTAGTAAAACAGTAAACACAAATTTTGAAACTTCTACATATGTTTGGAAGGGCTAATCCTTTTCTGTGTGCTTGCTCATACACATTTTTTCACAGCTTTTGAAAATGAGGTACATACCAAAGAAAAAGTAAATTATCTAGTCATCTTCTCAGTGGTTTTATTTGGACTTGAGGATGGACTATTAGATGGTCTGCAAAAATCTAACTGATACGAAAATAACAGTCTATTGTGATTTCAGAGTCTACATTTTCTATTGTCATTTTTTTATGACTTATATGTCAATTATCTTCAATGCTATATAGAACTGAAAGGCACCACTAATTTTTCAATTTCCTCAGACATTTTCCATCTTACTGTGGAATTCTACAGTTTCCATTTTTTTTTCCTTAATGAATAATTAACATTTCCTTAACAAATGATTTCCTTAAGCTTTAACCTCTATACTATGACCATATGTCTCTTAAAACTAAGATTCAGGATACCACTACATGATTCACTGCTGATTCAGTGTATTCTGTGTTTGTGTGAGGTAAATAAGATAGTTGCATTACATTAAGTAGAGGCTCACCATTTTGCTTGAGCTGTGACTTGGTTGTACCATTGGTTGTACCATTGGTACAACCATGTACAATGGTTGTACCATTAAGAATGAATGCAATGGGACTGAAGATCTTTCATGATCTGTTATATCCTAACAACACAGGAGTGCCTCAGTGGAAAGGAGATAGCGAGACTGGAAGTTGGAATGAAAGATCTTTTAAAGAGTCATTTGAGTTTCATTTTTCAATATTCAGAAGTCTAATAGATTTCATGATAATATTAGTTTCTCAGACTTAAGAGGTGATAGAATACCTGGAACTTAAAAAATCTATTCAGCAGTGTCTTACTGGACATCATGAAATCTCCATCTTCCTTTTCTGCTAGCTAGCTGTTTCATACAAGATCACAGTCTTCAACTCTTGAACTTTGTAAAAGTGATGGCCTGAAGGAAAGAACACTCTTCCAAGCCAAGTAGCTTCTGGATAACCACATGCTTCTTCCTGTAATAGAAGATTAAATTCTCACTGTGAACTTCCTTAATTCCAGAGGCAGCTGTCAGGAAAATATTTAAACTTCTCTTAGTCAGTTGAAAAGGTTGTTAGCAATGATAGGGTCACGGCTTCATTTCACTGGACAGCAGAGCAGGAAATTTCACCTATGAGACATTTTTGTCAATATTCACTGTAATTTTAACACTTAGTCATGGATTCAAAGAACCAAAAGAATACAATTAGTCAACTCAACCACACTGTAGTATCTTACTTTCTATGGTTACAGAATACAGTAATAATTTCATCCTTCAGTTTTCCTAATGAGTGCTACAGATTTCTTTTGCTACTACCTATTTTTTGAACCAACTTGCTAAAACAAGTGTCATTCAGTTTATTACAAGAATGAAGGTAGAATCAGAACTAATTTTACATCTGGATTACTGCTATAAAGGACATATTTTATTGTACACATATTAATAATTCATATAAACCTGATTAAACAGAAGTTGCAGACTTTTTTAAATGTAATTGAAAAACCTATGTGCATTGTAGAGTACTGATTCTCATTAGAACTTTTGGGTCATATAGAAAAATGTATATTGTCACTAGCTTCCTAAACATGACTCTTTATTTCACTTCTCTTGTGTCAGAACTCTATTAATTTTCTTTACTGACTGATGCAAAAAAAAAAAAAAATCAGAAGACCAAATTATTTTCAAATCAGAGGGTTGTATTAATTTTTTTTTAATTTAGTTTACAATATTTAAATAATATTATATAGATGTTATAGCCACATGTTTCTTACTCTTATGAGTGTTTTTGCCTGCTGCATGACTTGTTTTCCGTACATGTCCTTTTCTGTTAACATCTTTTCTTTAATATTACTTTTATTATCACACATTTCTCAAATTATTTATTTTTATTTGAAAGTTATTTGAGAACTGCGTAACTCTTTCCACATCTGATATTTCTACCAAAAACAAACCAATAACAACAATAAACACACTGGCTTGTATGGTACTACAGTAAATATTCAGACTTATATCACTGAAATTTCTGAGAGCTGGTGGGGTTAGCTCCACTCAACACTGTTTGCATTTATTCCTCCAGGTGCTGTTACTCCCTGTGCCACCTTGGGTAAATATTTTCTGATGTGTGGCCAATACATTCAAAATGCCAATACATTCAAAAGTGACTGGCAGTCTGTGTGTAGAGGAAGGAAGGTGTCTCATGTTCAACATTTGTGGCACCTGTAATTGTTAGGTTCTTCTGAAGTGGCTGAGGTCATTGTGCCACTAAGCAAATCTGCATCCTACAAATCACAGAGAAGCCTAGCTTGGTGAAATAGCATATACAAATGATCTATGTTATGTACACAGTATAGATTACTGAATTATTATTCATGCTAATCTGTCACTGAGGCCTATAAAATAAATTTGGTAGTTTAAGGGAAATCTAACATTAGTTCCAATGTAATTTAAAACACCTAAACTTACACCGAAAAGAACTCACCTAAGACTTACAAAATAGAATGTTTATACAAATGTCAAAGAGATGTAGAGAGGTTTAAATTATATTTACCTGGTAAATTTTTAACTTGTTTTTTCTTTATTTTAGTTAAGAATAATGGAGCTTTTCATGGCAATAAAATATTTTTTATGTTTGTATACTTCATGATGTATTACCTCTCTCTTTCCTCTATGTTCCCATGTCTCAATATTAAATACATAATTCATAAGCCTAGGGTTAATTACTAGAGATCTGCAATCAAGTTGCCCAGAAACACTGAGTACCCAATGAGACTTTTTGAGTACTGTGTAAAATATTCAGCACTGTTTATAATGTCAGACAAGAAGCTTTATTAGTCAGAGTGACAGGATTTATACAACAGCAGAACTATGGCTGCTGTACTTCAGCATCATAAGTCATGTCTCAAAAAGTTCTGTGGAAACAATGTAATAAAGAAGTTTTGCTGACAATATTGACTGTGAAATTACATCTCAAAGCAATAAATTATCAGGGCTATATTGTAGACCAATTTTAGAATGGCTAATCAAGGCAAATAATTTTTCTATTTATTGTGAGAATTTGTAGTGGTTAGACCTAATGAAGATGGTTGATAGACACTCACTGTCCTAATTTCCTGCTTCATCAGAGCGTGTAACTGAAGTGAAGACTGACATCTTCGTCACCAGTTTTGGGCCTGTTTCAGACCATGATATGGTAAGTGATGGCCTATTTCTATGGCATTTATTTTCTCTTGTCTTTTCAATTTGAAGGATGGAAGATATATGCAATAATTTATTTACTCCTTTTAAAGCTGTTAAAGCTTTTTTGTTGTTGTTGTTTTTTAAAACTCTTGATTCCAAAATGTCGTCAACTTTTATGTGCAATGATTCCTGTTAACTGTGACCGTGTTTAAGTGCCCTGAAATTACCATCTTCAGTGACTTTAATGATGTGTTTTAATAGACCTTATATTTACTATGTAACATATTATGAAATACATTATGGTTTGGATCAGTACTCTTCTGAGAATGATTGTTCAGGTCCTTGCTGGCACCTCACTGATCCAATTTGCTGAGAAAGATCATCATCTTAAAATGCAATTAACACTTACAGTGTGACATCCATACAGTCCAACCTGCATTTTTATATTAAAAACTACTGATCAGTGGGAAGTGAGTTTCCTAGAACTTGGCTGCTGAATGAGAGGAGAAGATTAATGAGCGAATTAGTGTCACTTATTTATGGCATGAATTTGAAAATCAAATTGCTACATAACTGCAGGGGATTCAGAGGTTCAGAAGACTGAATGAAGATGTTGTGATCTCTGGTCTTAAGAGATAATAAAAAATGTGTAAAAATATGGATAAAGTGCTTTAAATTTTGCATATAAATGACGCCATTACAAGTGGGTTGCTACTGACAGGGAAGGCCTGGTTTGATTACTAATATCTACTGGATACTGTGTTAGGACGAATGCTGAAAACATCCTCATTAACTTAAAACAAAAATGAAAACACTTCGGTATTTTAACTGACCACGTTAAACTAAAGACATTCACAAAAGAAAGAAAGAAAAATAAGTGGAAAAATTATCACAAGAAAGAAAGCAAGTTCCATTTACCACTACAAAATAATCAGTTGTTTAGTTGAAACTAGAAATGTAGACAGGTCTTAAACACTTTTAGTAAAGTAACTTTTACAAGATAGTTTATTTTCCTGAATGAACTTTACACAAAGCCACCATTTTCCTGACTGCATGGATAACAACAGTTATAAAACTGCAGTCAGATTTATATTTCCAACCAATGGCATCATATTTAGTTGAGAGAGAATAGCTTGGCCAGCACAGACTTTTTGACTAGTATTCTGCTGAGAAGTCTTACAATTGAAAAGCAACCCAGAGAAAGAGCCACACCAAAGACATCTCAGCTCATACACAGAATGCTATGCCTAGATACTATACCACTATACTCTTAAGAAGAGAAATTCCAAAAAAACAATCATTCAATAACTTCTGCTTTTTTCTTTTTATTTTTTATTATTGGATAATCCTCTGAAATTAAAATGCCTATTTATTACTCTAAATTATACATTGAAAGATGGGAAATTTCTTGGATAAAGATTGCCACTGACATCCCTCATTTGTGTTCTGGTGATTAGCTGAGCAAAATATTTCATCTTGCTTTCCCAGTTCTGTCTAGAAATAGGTAACTGACCACCATCAGACTGAATGAAAACTTCAAACACAGTCTTGCAACTAGTACGTATATATATATTTAGTTAATAAGCATTAAATTAAAACGGTAGCAGCTGCAGTTTGTGAGTGATCTGAGGTTTCTCTGTTTTCTTAGAGATCTGTCTTTTGGGAAAGTAGACACTGAAAGGTTCCTGAAAATTAAACGAATTTAAAGTATAGGGCAGCACACAGATGTTTGTGAGAATTGGGAAAAAAAAAAAGTAATAGATATATGCTGGTGAAAATACAAAGTAATACTTGTTAGTGTTGTTTTCTGTTAGCTTATGGATATGGTTTAGTGGGGACTGTTAGCGTTAGGTCAGAGGTTGGACTTGATGATCTTGAGGTCTCTTCCAACCTAGAAATTCTGTGATTCTGTGATTCTGTGAGTTGCCTGGCTAAACTGTTGCTTGATTGGTTGAGTCAGATTTACTAGAAAACTCCAGTACAGAACAGCAGGCTAAATAAACAGGCATGTATGTTTTCCTACATAAAGACGTAAACTGAGAGCATCCAATAGGCGTGCTGAATTACTTGGTATTATCTCACATATAGGCTTCAATGTGTACTTATCCCTGACAGTTTCAGATGATTTAATTCTTAAGTAGAAGGTAAACCTAATTTGATGTTCCTGGGAAAAACTGATATGTGTATAGGATTTGGTTTTTAGGGATAAAATATTGAGGCTCAAAATCAACTACTTTCAAAATTAGTAATAGGTATATCTGAAAAAAAAAAAAAAAAAAAAAGACCTCAGTTTAGCTGCATTAATACAGCATAAATATTAATAACCCATGAAAAAAGGCTCTCAAAAATACTTAAAAACACATAACACAATGGCTCCCAATTTTCATTTAGTTAATATAGGAGAAAGAATTTATCTACATCTTAATAAAGTGTGACCAAAAAACACATAGGCAGGTGTTCATACATTTTGAAAAGTAAGAGATTACAGAAAAGTATTTCGTGTAAAACTCCTACTCACCTCCCAGAAAAAGTAATGTGTGTACAGCCTACTCACACTAACTCTTCTGCTTAAGGAAATGTGTGAAATACAAGGAAAACAGAGAGAGAAAGATCAAATGAAGTCCTTATCAGAATAGAAATTTAGATTATTATCTGTGTACAAACAGATGTTAGTGCAAAATCTTCCACACATACTACAGTTTGGTTGTAGATACTCAGAATCACGGAATCATTTAGGTTGGAAGAGATCTCCAAGATCATCTAGTCCAACCTCTGACCTAACACTAACAAGTCCTCCACTAAACCATATCACTAAATCTAAACGTCTTTTAAAGACCTCCAATGATGGTGACTCAAACACTTCACTGGGCAGCTGATTCCAATGCCTAACAACCCTTTCAGTAAAGAAGACTTGTTCTCCAGAACAAGTTTCCCTCATCAGCTTTGTTGCCCTTCCCTGGACTCGCTCGAGCACCTCCATGTCCTTCTTGTAGCAAGGGGCCCAAAACACAGTACTCGAGGTGCAGCCTCAACAGAGTACAGGGGGACAATCACTTCCCTAGACCTGCTGGCCACACTGCAAACCAGGATGCTGTTGGCTTTCTTGGTCACCTGAGCACACTGCTGGCTCATATTCAGCCGACTATCAACCAATACTCCCAGGTTCTTCTCTGCCAGGCAGCTTTCTAACCACTCATCTCTGAGCCTGTAGCTCTGCCTGGGCTTGTTGCCCCCAGGTGCAGAATCCATTTGAGGGCTACCCCAAATTTGCTCCAGCAAGCAGACTGACAATTGATGTTGCTGGGATTATGGGATACAGTCACAGGGAAGCCTCACTAGCAGCTGTATTGGCACACCAGGGAAGGATGTGCTGCTGTCTGGGACCAGGACTGATGGATAGGAGCTGGGAATGAGCTATTCCAGCTGACGCCATATGTTATGAAACTACAGCCACAGTGAGACACCAGCATACCTAGACCATCTGTTTGCAAGAATCCAATGAGGCAGTTATATAGATAGTAGGTTGATATATCAGGCAGTACATGGTGTTCCTACCCACTCTCAAGACACTCTTTTAAGAACAGTACAGACATAACCTGCTATTCTATAAAGAGAATGCCTTGGCTCTGTCTTAAACCTGGGAATCAAGTTAAACAGGAGAAAAGCATTTTTTAAAATAAAAACATATAATTTTGGAAGAACTTTGCAAGTTTTCAGGTATGATCTCTCAGATGGTGGATTGAACTAATGATCAGATAACTGTCTATTCTCACGTCACTATCGTTTTGTGAAAATTTTGATATATATTATCTGAAATAAGAACCATATAAAAAACACACACTTTTTTTTTCATAAGGACGAAATGATGTTTTTCTAGTAAGTTTTCATTCACTGTTTCTCTACTGTAAGCTCTTCAGGAAAGAATTTCTGTCTTCGTACCTTCCTGTACAGCACCTAATAGAATACAGACCATGGTGTGTTCTACCCTGTATATGAACAGTCTCTGGGCAGAGAGAACAGATGAGTGAATTAGAGAATATATAAAATACTAAATTATTTCCTGCCTGGATCTCACATGTAAGACAAAATGTTATAAATATTCAATGCTATACAATTTATTGCAAATAGCAATCTTCTTTCTTTAATTGCACACTAAGAGATGAAGAATCTCCTCTGTGGAGAATTTATTCTGAATTCTATCTCTCTGATCTGCTTGCACATAGACCAGTGCTATAGTACATGGTTTGTTCTGCATGGCACTCTCCTGTAGAAGAAAGCTCTAATCTGAGTAAAAGATCATCCATGTGTCAGGATTCATTCGAGAGAAATTACTGTACATGTTAAAATGGGTAGTGAAAGCTAAGGAGGTGAGAAAGCTCAGCCAAAAATGATGCAGTCTGTGTGCACTATGACCTATCAGCTAATTTTTAATTGAGTTTTGTCTTCTGCTGTCATATTCCTTACCAAATGTCTCAGACTCTTTGATCTTTTCCAGCCTAAAAAATTTGTGTTCATGTAAAGGGAAGAACCAAACTCCCTTCTTTCAACCTGTATCACTTTCCACTCACCTCCTACTTTGCAATTGCTAGAAATAAAAAGGGAATGCACACTGAAGTGATACCACCTTCTGGGCTTGTCTTTTACCTTTCTCACGTGTGTATGAAGAAATCTCTGGAGCTAGTAAAACACTGAGAAAATACAATATTTTAACGCCTCTTCCTCTGAACAAATACCAATTCCAGAAGCACACTAAGCATGTGATTAAGAAAGTGGAAACACTATTATGTTTGCAATTAAATATGCATCAACATGATTCACGGGTCTCAGATATAAAGAAAAAAAAACAAAAAACAACAACAAAAAACAAACATGACAGCGAAGACCATTCCACAGAACTACTATTGTCCACAATAAATTTATTTAGTCACTTCATGCCTTGAAAACCAAAAAGCCACTGCTAGACTCAGTATTGTTGCTTGCTGATAGTTGCACAATTAATAAGCAGCTCACACTTGCTTATGTCATACAGAGTGCTACAATTTGTTAAAATAAAATTCATGAGTCTGAAGGAGTCTGCTATGGATAGATTTTTAAATGTTCATTCCAGAATGTTTCTCTTTACTAGCATATTCCTTGGGGAAGCTCTTTTACTTGTAGCAGTGTGTGCCAGAGCCATTTTCCTTCAGGATTTGCCATCAGACATTGGCACAGGATCTCAGCAAAGGTTCAGCTTCTCAGCCAAATGATTATATTTCAGAGTAATTTTGAACAGTGTTTGGATAGCTGCTTTTGATATTTATCACAAAAATCTTGACCATGAGTGATAGCATAATCTCATACAGCACTTCCATGTTAGAATGGGATTTTTCTCTAAGTAAATATTAAATTATCCATAAGAGTTTTCCACATTTTTACCACATCAGAGTGGGAAAGTACTCTGTGTTTTATCTATAATACACCAACATATGTTTCTTAACTTCACTGTCTCCCGCTTAACTTCTATTGCTTTGTAAAAAATAATTCTTTCATTTCATAGCAAGTTTTTTGTTTTATTCTCCCTATATACACTGACTCAGCCAGTGCATCTCCTCTCCATTGCCTCAGTCCTTGCATAACCGAACTATTACTGTTGGTCCAAAGCAATCCTCAGCTTGCGCTCTCTTGAGTCCAGTGATATGGACCAATGAGCCATTTCACGTCTTTTAAATAAGACCACGTAATTCTAGTAGTGTGAACTTTTCACAGGTTGACTACCTCTTTATGCTAATGAGACACCTAAAACAAAAGGCTCTAGTAAGACCCTGTCTCACCAGGCTTATTTTATTCTAAGATACATATTCTTTGCAGGCTATGCAAAATGGCTGAATATCCACAGCTTCAAGTCACAGTTTTATGGAAGGTGAAAGGAAAGGGAGAAAGGGGCAAAATATGTTGCTTCCATTATATTATAACTTAAATTCTTGTTTAACTTTTGATAGGCTATTCTTCCCAACATTTGTTCTATTGAACACAGCAATGTTGTTGTAACTGTTAAAGAACCAGCTTCAGATACATTGTAAGTAATATAAAGAACGAACGTTCTGGTAATTACTAATTTCATTAATTGTCTTGATTTTAGGGAACAGTAAGAATATAATTTTCAAATTCCTGTATTTCCACATATGACAATATTACCTTTTTTTTTTTTTTTTTTTTTGAATTGGTGTAGGAATACACTATAGATGTATTTTTCCGCCAAAGCTGGAAAGATGAAAGATTAAAATTCAAAGGACCTATGACTGTTCTCCGGTTAAACAATTTAATGGCCAGCAAAATTTGGACACCTGATACCTTTTTCCACAATGGAAAGAAGTCAGTGGCTCATAACATGACAATGCCAAATAAATTACTACGAATTACAGAGGATGGGACATTGCTGTATACAATGAGGTGAGCCCTAAAATATTATATCCTTCATTTAGTTTGACAATATAACTTTGTAAAGCAAGATATTTTCCAAACAGGAAATGGGTTCCTCTTTCAGCGTAATTTGATTCCTGCTTAGTAATTATTTTCACAATAGGTCATAGAATGATGGATAAGTAGACATTTGCAGTGTTCATTTTTTTCCTCTTGCTGTGCCACCTTTACATGCCCTGGATGCATCTCAATACTTAATTTTAAAAAGGTACCTAGAGTATTAGGAATCCATCAGTTTGCAAAGAACCTTAATTTGGAGCTGCTTTCAAGTATTCCATCAACAAAACAGAATTACAGAAAGGTTTGGGTTGAAAGAGACCTTAAGGACCATCCTGTTCCAATGTCCCTGACATGGTTAGGCACACCTCCCACAAGATAAGGCTGCCCAAAGCCCCATCCAGCCCGGCTTTGACCATTTCCAGTAGAAATAGAATAGAGACTGAAAGTTGAACATAATTTGGCCTCTAGATCATATATAAGGGTCTCTAATCTTTGCTTCCTATAGAAAGCAGATTCTAAGAAATAGCAGATGACCAGAGAATTCATTGCACAATCTCATTTCTTGTGCTAGTTGGCAATACAGAACATGAGAATCTAAAAATGGACATTTCTTATTCCATTTGTAGCAACAATACACTATGTGTTTAAAATGTTAGGGGTATGAAAGATTCCCATACTGGCGTCATTCTTACTGGAAATGGGGTACTCTCCATGACAATAACAAATTGAACTAACCAGTTGTCAGCAATAGGGTAAATATATCCTTTGAAAATAATGATGGTACACAGTGGTGGAAACATTCTGGATTAAAAAGACCTTGAATTAAACAATGAAAAAAATGGTATATTGTAGCTCTCTACAGAGCTACATGTTCGTGAATCTTTTGACTCAAAGTCAAGATGGATAGTTTAGTATGTAGGTGAATATTGAACTTTCATTTTACAATTCTAAAAATTCTTTTAAAAGCAATACAAGTATTTTGAGAAAACAACATTTCCAGGATTTTTGGAAGTTTGTTAAGTGTGTTCAATGTATCTGAAACATCATTCAAGGCTCCCTAGGATACAGTAGAATATGGTTGGCTTGTGCTTAGACAAGTCCGGGTCTACCTAAATTCTTGGGCTGCTAGGGATTTAATCCACAAGAACACTACAACGGCAGCACGTGGTTCATGTCTCCATTTTTGACCATAACCATTTCTATTTCTTCATCTTTGCAAGTGCCTTAATGAAGTCTTCTGCCTGATAGTCAATGCTACTGTCCATTCCTTGCTGATGTTTGATATGCAATTGTTTCAGCAAATGTTTCTAGCTTACTTAACCTCTCATATTAAGCAACATGCTTGCATCCAAGCCAATAGCATCATAATGATTTCAGCAAATGTCCAAACAACCAGAAAGGGCCAGCTAAGTGACAGCAGCAGGGAAATGATTTTAGTTTCTAAGAGAACTTAATCCTCACACCAAGGTACAAGTCTGAGTGTGTTTCTGCTGTATAGTAAGCCAAGGTAGGGGGCAGACTCAGTCCCACTCCTGTGTTTACACACGTAGCCTGTCAGCATGCCTGTCAGCGCCCCTAGAGGGGGCCTGTTCTAGCTGTTTATTAATTACATAAAAATAGTATAATTTCTGCTATGTGTCTTTACAGAAGTCTATTTGCTATTTCTATGTAACTAGAATAAATCTGTGTTTTTGCTCACATTATAGATTGACTGTGAGAGCAGAGTGTCCAATGCATTTAGAAGACTTTCCTATGGATGTACATGCTTGCCCTTTGAAATTTGGAAGCTGTAAGTTTATTTTTAAATTGAGGTTTCTCCATTTTAAGGCCACTTTAAAAAAGTATTTTGCAACTGGGCAAACTTCAAGGTTTTAATTGTGTATTATTCTGTCTTAAATATGTGTCTTAAAGATCCTCCAGTGTCATACCTGGACATTCACAAAGAGAAAAATGTTAACACTCAACTTCTAGAAAAATAGCTTAGAAAACATTAATCTTACAGTTGCTTTATTTTTTTTTAAGTCCCCAAATCAATTTTAGAGAGAAGTAATATGGACTGTGGATAACTCAATTGGTTTAGGTAAAAATAGTTTTGCTACCATAGTCTTACTATGTTTAGAACAAAATTTTGTCTTAGACTGCAATACCATTCATATTTCAATCATGTGACACATCTGGAAGCGGAAAATGTAGGACTCTCTTAGGAGATTTGTGACACTTGCAACATTTTTAACCTTAAATTAGGGAACACACTGACCAAATATAATGTAATTGAAATCAGAGTAATAACTGACACCACTTAAAATAAATCGAGAATTTCTCCCCCAAATTTTGATTTGAATTGTAGCCAACCTGTAACTGATACTTTGAAATTTAAACATTATTTCCATAAATAAAAATATAATCCCTGCTACAACTCTTTAAGATTAAATAAATAAATTGAAGAGTTGTTTTACTCTGGTTGATTCAACACAAACATAGAAGAAAAAATATGTGGAAAATGTAATAGTGTACAAATTGTTTCCTCAGTGGCTATTTTTTCTTGTAGAAATGGATCATTTCACTGATAACAGGTACTTAGTGGCTTGATACATTTTAGAAGTCAACAGACAGAAAACACAATTCATTCTTCAAGTGGTACCAGACAGGGTGATAACTTACTTTGGGCTGAATAGCTCTATGGTTACAATGAGAAAGGACGGACCTTTTGTCTTTAAAGACCTGCTAGCCTCCTAGATTAGATATACAGAACAAAAAGCTCATACAAAGTTGGAGTATAACTGACAGGAATAGTTTACTATTTGAATGTTAAGTTTTCTTACAGCACTTCCAATAAATCTTTCCAAATCTCCTGTGAAACAGATGAGGGGAAAATGTTAATTAGTATAGGGCAGTGGGTCCTGGACCAATAACAGCAGATCTGTGCATCTGGAATCACCCAGGATCCCAGTTACATCAGAAGTGGTCACAGAGATGAATTTCTCTTGAAATGCACATTAAGGAGTTTATGCTGACTGCATGTTGGATCTGGAAGATAGGAAGATGGGTACTTGTGCATAAAACCTGCTAACATAAAGTTAAACCATCAAGAGGTTTTGTATAAAGGTGAACTAGCAGACTGAATTTTACACTTCTATCTAAATTTATTCTGTATTTTTTACTGTTATATACATTTATTTTCTTAAAAAACAAACAAACAAACAAACAAACAAAACCAACAAAAAAAACCCCACAGAGTTATTTCTAAATGAAATATCATTTTCTACACCAGACTCAGAGGTGAATATTAAGATTCTAATTTCAGAATGCAGGTATGGGCCATTATATTTTACAGGCTATTTAGAGTATTTTTGTGTTTTGAACACAAATGGCCTTCAAGACAGCTGTTCTTAGCAGGAGCTAACAAAACAAGTAAGTCCAAATGCTGGGAAGGGCCATGAGACAAGATCAAGGTCTTTTCAGGGAACCTTTGCTTTCTGCTACTAATTTAAAAGGAGTTTCTAATCTAGGGGAGTGCCTTCCGCAACCTGCTTTTACTGCAATCGCTGCTTGGGGACTTCACCGTCCAAAAGAGGACCTTAAATATGGGTCTCTCCCATCCTTCCCATTAGATTATACAACATAGTTATCAGATTATAAAATATTTCTATCTGAATACTTAGGTATTGATACAAATAGAACTATCTCCCACTGGACAAATGGCTAGACTCAGGCAAGTGAAAACAGGTCTCACGGTTGTACATATAAAAAGAGAACAGTTCTTAAATTTAATTGCTGATTTTCAGTAGGAATCTCCTTTCAATACATTTTGACGTTTTTATCAAACAACTAAAGCAATTCATAAAATTCATCTTAATGGACTGAAGAATTTACTGTAAAAGACCTTCAGTTGTAATGAAAGACACTCTTTTTGTGCAGATTACAATACCAGACTTAGTAGCTCCCCAAGGTAGTGTTTGCCCAGCAGTGTTTGTTTTGAATTAAATTGGATAAGAGTTTTTCCATATCCTCCACTATTACTCATCTCTTGTTGAAGCTGGATTCAGAAAAGCCTCACATTTGAAGGAGTGGCATATATGGACTCTGTCCATACTGTAGAGGCCAACAAATGCTTGACCCAGCTCCAAGGCTAAAATGATTTGCCAAAATAGCAGTTTGAGCTAGAGGTTATTCCAATGTAAATACAATGTGACAAATGCTAAAGAGGCTTCTGGAACAACAAAAAGCCATATGTTGGCATAACAAAATCAGAAAGGCAGCTGCTGTCCTCAGCTCTTCCCACAAAAATCTGATTGTCAGTTTAAAACTAAGGCCACTCTGGAAAGCAGCACTGAAAGGAGCAAAAGGGTATGTTGAACTTATGCAATGTGTCAACTGGATGCTGAAGGTAGGAGGGAGAACAGACCATCCATGATGGAAATGGAGAAGTGAACCTGGTGGGGTGAGCTCATTTCCAGCACTGGTGAGCATGCTGCCTTCCCTCTGACTCCTAATCCACTGTTTCCCAGTAGCTCAGGAAATCAGTCCCCTCTCTTCCAAACTACTCTTGTGATCCAAAACAAGTAAAATGCTTGAAAGTTTAATATTAATATTATCTTTTTTTTTTCTTTTTTTTTTTTTAAATTTTATTTGGCTAGACTAGCAGGCCAATTCTTGTACTTACTGTGGCTATTATTTTTAAGGTCAGAGTTATTAAGAAGTAGATCTGCATTTACCACTGCTTCCAAAAGAGCCTAAGTATATGTTATAGTGTTTAGGGAATAAGAAGTCTAACGGCAAAAGTAACCTTCCACTTAAATAATGTGGGATCAAATACCATGCAATTAATTTACCAGCACACTCCATTCAAAACTACCTCTTTAATTACTGTTATCTCTTACACTGATACGATAAAATTATTAACTCACAAATGAGGTCAAGGGAATCAAATTGTTACTTTCCCTTTCCTGTTTGCCTGTTTTGAAAGCACACAGAGAAAATCTCATCCTGCAGGTAGGAGTCAGTTAGTCACCTATACACACATTTATAGTACGATTTTATGTGTCCTAAGATGTCCCATCTGGCTTCCAGCTGCCTCTGGTGGGTGCAAGCTTTATGTAGGTTCTAATCACACATTCAGTCCCATACATGTCTTGGATACTCCTAGGTGCCAAGAATGACACTCAATGTCTGTATGTAGACAACTAACTCCCACCCTGAATGCTCAAAGCAAGAGCTGTCAGACTGCAGACCACACAAAATGGCAGAAGAATATTACAATACTAAGGTAAAAAATGTTATGTATAGTTTAATTCATTAAGTAACAGAAATAACACAATAATAACAGCACAAAACACTTGGATGATATATGTAGGATACTACTGAATTATCTATATAACATGCTAGACTAATTGGGCCTGGAAAATACAGTGTTTTTTGTTTGCTCTTTTTAGGACTTCAGTAAATGTAAACTTGAATAAGTGTGAGCATTCCGCAGAAATAACCAGACAGGAAAATAGATTCACCTGTGATTTAAACTCATGTGAGCCTAGGCAGCCTCAGAACTATCTGCTATACTTGTTATACAGCAAAGGCACGGTGAGAGGGTGATGACAAAATGGAGAGTTCTAGCCAGGCTGAAGGAGAAGTCACTGGAGCTACTCTGAAAAGGACTTATTTTCTGACAGTGGCCCAGACACCACCAAACCACCACAAATTAAAAATAGTGGGGCTCGTCTATCTTTATAGTAGTTAAAAATTAGAATAAGAGCTGGAGTCCTTGCATGACCATGAAATTCCATGTCTAACTCTCCCTTCTGGTTATTCAGATTTTATATAGGTGGGAATGATGTAAGGGAGAGCAAGACTTTCAATGTCATTGAAGGCGAACCTTAATCCAGCCCTACAGCAGCTATTTAGCTGATCATAGTATGGATAGACCTGTAAAATCACTTATATTCCCCATAATCAGAAAGTTCCAGTATGCTAATCATGGTTTTTCTACAAGTGATTACAGAGTATTAAGTATTCAGAGTACTGCTCAAAACCTTGTTCTGTTAAAGACATATGGCGGTAGATGGACAAAAGCTGAAATGCAATGTATTCGTTTTAAATTAGATGCTTATACCAGAGCAGAGGTTGTGTATGAATGGACACGGGAACCTGCAAGATCAGTGGTTGTGGCTGAAGATGGCTCTCGACTGAACCAGTATGACCTGCTTGGACAAACTGTGGACTCTGGAATTGTTCAGTCCAGTACAGGTTTGTGAAAAAGGGTTACCAGTTTATAGCAAAATGAGATCTCAAAGATAATATTCTTGGAGGCAGTGAAATAAGATGCTAAAAAAAAAAAAAAAAAAAAAAAAAGCATATAGTCTCGTAAGGAGGTATTTAGAAAGTGAAAAAAAAAATGTCACCAAATTAAAAAACAAAACAAAACATTTGGAACATCCAAACATAGTATTTCGGTACCTTAATGCTGCCATTAGCTTTTACTCCAAAACAATTAAAACTGAGATACACAAATACAGCCATATAGTCCTTGTTTAAAGTATTAGTTAAGTGTGATGTTGAAGCTGGCTAAAAAATTTTGCACTTTGCATTTGCTGTTTCAAAATTTAATCTTTGGGTGTGTTTTGTTGTTGTTGTTTTGTTTGCTTGATAGTTTTTTATTACTTTGGAAAGGCACAAAAATCTGAATACAGTAATAAACTGAACTTCGAGCATGAACAAGATCTTGAAGTATTGACTGGAATTAATGTTCCATAAATCAGAGGGATGCACTCCATTAGACATAGCTGTATTGCTCTGACTGTCCCTGCAGTTGTAATGGAACTGAAGAAGTACCTGCCTATGCCAAACTTTCTAATCTGTCATTCATAAAGTGAACAAATATTTAAAGGAAAGTGAGTCACTTTAAGGTGAACCCTAACTTGTGTCTGATTTTTTTATTTAGCATTTAGCTTCTCAGTATATGTTCATGTGGCCTATTAAGCTAACAAATTTTCTCATAGACTAAAATTTCCAGTGGACCACTATTGAGGTTACTGTTTGGAAGCTTCTGTTGATGTAATCGTAAAAGTAAGTGGGATGGCAGAAATAAGGACTTCACATAAGAACTATCAACACAACTGCTTCCACAGATTCACCACTTTCATTATTGAGCACTGAGGTCTGCATTGGTCAAAGAGAAAGAAAAGCAGTGAGAACTTTTGGCCTGGCCACAGACAGAAATATTCCTGTTGATTTCTTTGGAGCCAGTAATTCACCTCACCTGCCCTTTCCTGGCAAGTCAGTGTGATTTGTGAGGGACTGCAAGGGTCCTGAGCTCTGTGCTCTTTCTCTTCGGAGGCTGTTCGCTCAGAGAGACCACAGCAACCTGCATGGCTGCCCTTTTGCGCTCATTGCCAATTCCCTGCTTACCCGATGCATTTTAAGGGCAGCAGGACAGTCAGAAAAGACTCCAACTTGGGAACATATTTAAACTGAACAGATAATAGCAGATATAATTCATGGTAGTTAGATGGTACTGTGAGAAGCACCCTTTAAATTCGTAAGATAGTCAGAAAATAGGTGTTTAAATAGAATTAAGGCAAACCTAAGTAGTGTAAGAATTCTTTATATATTTCCATGAAGTAACTAAATTACATTTCCTTTGCCCATGATATTTCATAGTTTTGAATTCTGCCTCCTTTTTTCTGCCTGAAATTTTTACCATGCCAATCCATAAAGTTAAATGAAGTGTTATTATTTACTAAAACAAATATGCTATTGTTTAGATGCAGAAAAACATTACAAAAAATTAAATACAATGATTATCAAAACTAAAACCAAGCCTGTTATATTTTAGTACAAAACTTGCAATTCTCTTAAATTAAGACCTGATAAGCATATACAGTGGAAGAAACATTGATTGTTTGCAAATTCAATATCTCAAGGAAAAGTGCTTCTTGACATTTGCCCTCACCAAAATAGTGGCAGGGTCAGAAGTGGGTAATGGCCTTTCTCCACATTCAAATAGCTGGGCAGCTATCTCAACACAATCCTCCAGCACATCTTTATCCTCTGATCATCTCTGTTTTAAGGCATGACATACGTAATGAAAACTGTGAAATCCCTCCCTGTTTTTAGAGGGATGGAGATTGACTCATCTGACAAAAGGGTCTTTTTTTCTTGTTCGGGGTCTAGAACAAGATAAATACAATCTGATTTTTTTTCATGAAAAGAGATCTGCAATTGTTGTTGTCTTCAAGATAATCTTTCAAAGACTAAAATGCTTTTACAATCTAGTTATTCACGCATCATAGAATGCTTCAGGTTGGAAGGGACCTTAAAGATCATCTAGCTCCAATCCCCCCTCAGGTTGCCCAAGGCTCCCATCCAGCCTTGCCTTGAACACCTCCAGGGACAGGGCATCCACAACTTCTCTGGGCAACCTGTTCCCATGCCTCACTGCTTCTACAATGAAAAATTTTCTCCTAATGTCTAATCTCTTAGTTTAAGACCTCTTTAAGACCATTCCCCCTTGTCCTTTCATTATCTATCTGAGTAAAGAGGATCCTCCATCCTTTTTATAAGCCCCCTTTCAAGTATGGAAAGGCTTCAATGAGGTCTCCCCAGAGGCTTCTCTTCTCCAGGCTGAGCAACCCCATCTCTCGGAGTGGAAGAGGAATTGGTTGGAAGTTGGACAGTGGTCAGTAGTGGTCACGTGAGCATATATTTTAATTAAAGACAAAATATGAGAAACTGAAGATTCCATAAATAACTGGAGTGTTTTAGTCTCTTATAGTTATTTAAGTAAGTCCCATTACAGATGTATTATATTCTAATAAATGACTCCAGTCCACTGGTATTTTGGAGACCTACAAAAATGTTTTTGACTTATAACTGAACTGTAAGAATTATTCTAGGTCTATGTTTTGCCTGAGATGCTCATGGCATTACCTTTAACTGACTTCTAGCTCAGAACTATTTTCTTAACAGATGAGAGTAGTCCCTGTATTTTAAATTGCCTCCATGCTTCAAATCTTGTTCTCAATTTCCAGGGGTTAAAAATAATTTCATAATTTAAGCAGCTGAGTAAAGCTTCAGAGCAGAGTGGTGTGTTCACTCTATATTCTTAGCTTGCCAGCTATAATCACTGAATTAATTCTGACACATCATTGTGAACATTTTATATCTGATTGCATTAAAATAGTTTCCCATGACATATCATAGTAGATGAAATTTAATTATTGTTTTTTCTAGCTAAGACTGGCACCCTTCAGAAAACTATAATCTCTGTTGCTGGTTGTTCTGGTGAAAGTTACAGAATAATGGGTAATAATCAAGTCAATGCCCCCCATGCTGTTCCTGAAGTCCTATTTTCTGAAAGATTTTCCTTGTATGTCCTTTGCTCTAGCTCTCAATTTTTAATTGGTTCTCTTTTCTGTCCTTTGCTACTGACTTCTATTTTATATTAAAACATACAGGGAGTATTGTCACGTCTTATAAATAAGATTTCCTCAGGGTTATATATTGAGAAATATTGTTCAACTGAATGTTCTTTTACACTCTGAATTAAAGAAAAGGGCATTTGACATGCTTAGTACATAAGCAGTCAATGTCTAGACATAGTTTTTCAATCCAATTTAAGCTTTTCCTGTACAAGTACAACAGTCTCTTTCCAGTCTCTTCTCCTGTACAAGTGCAACAGTCTTTTTCCAGGTAATGTGAAATGGCAATTTCACATCGTCTCTAATCTAGGCAGAGGTTTTCATCCAGTCACATTTCCACCTGTTTCTTTCCTAAGCTAATGTCTATTGAATAAAGAATCAATCTTCGGTGAACAATATGTCACAAGTATAGGTTTTGCAGTCTATATACTGTTTCTCAAAATCTGTTTTCAATGATGTTGTCAATAATATCTGTAAATATTTGCTGTCCTCTGGAAGAAATGGTTTATAGAGTTATATAAATACTTAAGATGCCTTTTGTATGTAATTGGAATACCCAGATCATATATTCTTAGAGCACCTTAAAAGTTACCGGTAATGAAAATATTATACATTATTCTTGTGTTGGCCATTTACTATGGGAGAGAATATTAATTTAGTAAGGTACTGAATTAGTGGTATAGGGATGCTTAATCTTCACAGCAGATAAAGCACAAACAGTGATAATACAAACATAATCACATCAACAATTACAACTACAGCTTGGCCCTACTGAAACATTTCTGACTTCCTGTCTCCATTCAGTCATTGTTTGATGATTACATGTGTATGTTACAGTGTGTTTCCATCTCCTAATGGAATAAAACCTTTCAGAAGAGGCCTAAACAGCCACCAGTTAATGCAGACTTTTATTTAGTACTCAGTGAAGAAGATGAAAAGGATGCTAATTTAATTAGCATTTCCCAGAACTATCTAGTTTTGTATTATTAGTGGAACTTTATTATTAAATGGTGGAACTTTTGTTATTAAATATTTTCTTCAGAGCTGACCCAATTTGATCTGGGGTCTTCTTATTTTTATAATAGTAGTGATTACAATGAAAGTTATATAACTATATAGTTATAACTATATAACTATATAACTATATAAAATTAGATATATATAATGAGTTCCTATAAGGTCTTGTAATTTGTTTATTTATAAAAGCTTTAATGTTTTTTTCTGTTTTTGTTGTTTGTTTTTTTGTTTGTTTGTTTTTTAGGAGAATATGTTGTTATGACTACACATTTTCATTTGAAGAGAAAGATTGGTTACTTTGTCATTCAGACTTACCTGCCATGCATCATGACAGTGATACTGTCACAGGTGTCCTTCTGGCTTAACAGAGAATCTGTTCCAGCAAGAACTGTATTTGGTAAGAAAGACCTATAAACTCCTTGGCAATCACATGCCAGATAATTTTAAGAAATTTTGTGATAAAACTGGTTATGTGTAATGTGATATTGGAGAACAGGAGGAGTCTGTACACAGTTAACGTGTTCCATTGTGAAGATGCATCAGAAGCTGATACAAGTTCCAAAGCTTTTAAACTGACTGTAAAAAGAGACCTGAAAATGTCTCAAACAATCTATTCCCAGTTCTACTTTTCCAAAACAATAAATATATGAATAAAACATTTCTGATAAATGGCAATGGCTTTCATGGCGGGGATTGTCAAAAAGTTTTAATCAATGGGTGTTGGTCCTTTGAAAATTCTTATCTTGAAAATACCTTTTGTAGGCTGCTGTCTCCTGTTGAAATCAGAGATCATCTATTTGGTTTATAGCAGTGAAAAGATGCACTTAATGAATGCAGTAAGAAGGAAGTCTGAGGGATTCTAAGTTTATACAGTTGGTCCCTAGTGTTTTAACTGCTGCCTGTAAACACTTATTTTAAAATTAGGAAAAAGCAAAACAAACAAACAAAAAAAACAACTAGCATGTTTTTTGAAGCTATTAATCCAAGTCAAGCACATGGTTAAAATATATATATATATATATATATATATATACACATGTATATATACATCTATATGTATATATAACAAATCTGGTTAAGGAAAATAGAACCTAAGATTTCTGAAATGTGACCTAGTCTTTTTGTGGGAGGCCTGAATATCTTTGGCAGAGGAGGTGGAAAAACACACAGCCAAGTGGGGTTTTAGACCCATTTCCCTGCGTTGGGACAGTGCTGGGGCAAGATGCCATGAGCCCTTCTCCTTTGCTGAAAAGAGTTTATGTATTTACAGTGTACACAGCAAAACTGGAGAGAATAACAAGGCCTGATGTTGAGAAACATGCAGACACTGTTCAGCTATTGTTGAACAAGAGCTGCTTTTATATGTATTGACCTTTCTCTTGCTCTCTTCATAGTTTTGCTTTAGTTTCCCAAAGCCTCTGGAAATAATTCATAACTTGCATAACCTTAAACCTCATGAACCAAGTAAAGACTTTCTGTAGATGTATGGATTTGCATTTACAAAAGAATGGTTTAAAGCACAAGAAAATTAAATTTGATTTACATAATATGATTTAATGTCTAAAATTAGTTCAGAAGTTTTATCACTGAGAATCAATCTGGGACTTTTATGAGCCTCTGTACTCAAAGCTATTGAAGTTGTAACTATTTTATCTCTCTTTGCGTATGCCATTTAAAAATAAATGTCAGATCAGCACTTTGCAATGCCATACTTCATTGTCCCTAGATGGAGAACAAAATTTTCCAGTCTCATAATGAATAATAAATAATACTGTATGATGTTGCAGCTGTTATCTTGAGATATCTCAAAATTTTCCTCTTAGAAGGCACTATTTAGTAAATATTGTTGTATTTGCTTTATTGTAACATAACAAGATAGGTTTTTTCATTTCCTAATGACTGAAAAAATGTCACAATATTTTGCATGCGTGTATACATACAGAAGCACAGCTTAGATATTTTAGCCCACTCTTACTAACACAGACCATATAAATTATAAAACCTGCTTGGCTACTACATAAGAGAAATATAAGCTCGCTAATAATGAGTCAAAGATGAGATGAGGTTGTCTCTTGGGGAAAGAAACTGCTTCCTCACTAGGCACTAAAAATTCAAGTTCTTTACACCAGTACATAAATACATTGTTCATTATTTGCCCTGTTTTAGACCACTGCATGTTTTCAATAATACTCAGTGCAGTGAAGATGTACAAGCAAAGCACATTCAATATGTGACACTGCAGTTGTCAAGGTAACTTGTGGACATACGATTTGATGTAAACATCTAGCCTACTCTTGTAGATTTTTTTCAAGCTGCTGTAGGCAGAATGAGTTCAACACAGCCCTGCCACTTACTGAAAGCTCCATTGCCAGCTAAGGAAAAAAGCGTCAGCAGCAATGGGACAAGCGGATATCAGAAATACAAAAGCATTGTTACTGTTCTTATATAAGTTCTTTGCTATTTTCAGTGAATCAGTAAATAAAAGGACAGATCTCTAAAGCCATCAACTTAAATATATGGAATATATCACATAAAGCTTAGTATGTTTGAGTATAGGTTTGAAGGAACATATGCTACATAAACTACCATTAATCAGGCCGAGTAACATGAAAACAATACGTTTTTAAGGTTTATATTTTATTATCTTAGAACTGTTGCAAGAAAGAACTAAAAATATGAAATATTTAAATCTGCAGTGCAATTCACAGGGCTTGGATAAGGAACAGCAACAATAATTCCTCAAGTTCCATGAAGCATAAAGTAGAATCCAGTCCAAAACGCAAAATATTATTTCTATCCCCGTTTAAAAAAAAATACCATTGTACTAAAACAATGTCAAAGAACAAAAGGTATAGAAGAGATGTTACAAAGAACCTGCAACTTCCACAGAAATTGAAATTTGATTTTAAGTGAATTTAAGTGGAGAGGTCTACAAAAATTAGGGGTAGAAATAAGGGTTTCACTTCTATTGTAGTAGTTGAGAATTGAAACTCAAAATATAGCCACTCATATAAAGACCTAAAAACTGTTTGTTTTTCAGGAGTAACAACTGTCCTAACAATGACTACGTTGAGCATTAGTGCAAGGAATTCACTACCTAAGGTGGCCTATGCCACTGCTATGGATTGGTTTATAGCGGTTTGTTATGCCTTCGTGTTTTCTGCACTCATCGAATTTGCAACAGTGAATTACTTCACAAAGAGAGGTTATGCATGGGATGGCAAAAGTGTCGTTCCTGAAAAGGTAACACCACTTAATATTTATTCCAACAGGTCATATTATGTCATGCATGATCTCTGTATATTTTAGCCTATTAGAGCTCCTGTGCAATTTAAATAGTTATTCTAAAAGTTTCCTCATGTTAACCCACACAGCATTTCTACACACACACACACACACACAGAATAATTGCTTAGACACTGAGTACCTCAATATGCAGTCTTCTTCTCTGGATGATATTTAGTGCTATTATTAACATAAAAAATATGCATAGTCTCTGATTTTTCATAGAGAAAAAAACATTTTTTGCGAACAGGCTCTGGGATTTTAACTTGTGCAGATAAGCAGGAAGGAGACACTTTTTTTTTTCTTTAAAGGGAAGGCAATTCGTTCTCTAATATTTCATCAAGAGAAAATGTTCATGCCTCAATATATACGTAAAAGAAAATCTTGTGACTGCAGTACTTGAGAGTTTTCATATTGTATGGCTCCCCAACTTAAACTTCAAGAGAGTTACTGTATAACCATGATCACTAAAGAGCCTTTTCTTTCCTTTGCCTCCTATTTTTTTCCCTATTAACAGAAAAATGTTATTCCTAATTCTTAGCATATAGGAGAAATTGAATTGTTCTGGGGAAAGCACTGACTGTCATTCTGTAATCCTGTTCCACACATTCCTCAAGGAAATGAAGGACATCACATTGACTCCTTTGGTATGGGATTAGACTGTCTGTAAATCACATATGCATCAAACTGTTGAGGGTTGCGCACGGGATGAAAGAGAAAGTTTCTGATTTTCTATGAAATATCACATGACCTCCTTCTGTGAGGAAGCTCATTTTGATTTTTTTTTTTTTTAAGAGATCTTGAAAGAGACTTTTAACTTTCCTAATTACTTATTATGAACATTCACAGATTAGAGATTCAGCAGAATAAATATTTGAAGGAGCAGATGTTACTCATTGGTATGCGAATATATGTGTTTAATTCAGGAATGTATGCCTATATATAAATATTCTTTATCTTTTTTGTCCCCTATTTTAGTCGCATAAGACTCTCCATGCGAGAACAGAAATAAAATTAAGACATTTACAAGATGAGAACAAATGTAAAAGTATTGCGGAACAAAGTGAAATAACTTAAAAGTATGGTATTGAGCTTCATGACAATTTGTTAATATTGAGTTTTCAGTTACTGATGAACTTTTTTACTTTACTGAAATTAATTTATTTGCTTCTTTTTTTGCCCCTATCTTCATGATATCTATTTTTTAATAAAATAGGTGGTATTAATAAAACATAATAATTGAATATTAAATATTGCCTTTTGAACATAGCCTACCTGGTAGCATAAGTTACCATTACCAGCCACTTCATTTGTTTCAAATAAAACTATTATTTTTGGGAAAACAAAGCAAAACAAACAAATAAACAAACAAACAAACAAAAAACAACACTAAATACGCAATATTCAGGAAATATTCACATATTTCCTTCCTGTGCAGGACTCTATATCATGCTTCTACAAGCCTCTCTCCACTTGTCTGGATGCATTTGCAGCTTTTCTGCATACTCTCAAGTGTCCTGAAGAAACGCTTCTGCTTCCTTAAATGTTCACCACTTGAACAAGATTTTTTTTTTTTTTATACTAAAGCCAACTACTGGCTTGTTTATACAGCTATATATCTATAGTTGATCTGTTATAACTAGTAAAACAAAAAAAAACCAACACTCCCTCCCTGGGATAGGTGCAAGTTGAAATCAGAATTATGTTTGCTGTTTAGTGAAATAATGTAATAAAAAAAAAAAATCACATGTGGCTATTTCTCTTTATCCATAGCATTATTATTTACCTTCTAGAGGACTAAATGATCAACATTTGCTTTAGGTTTTTGGAGCAAACACTGCCTAATGATTTTCTAAGCTCCCTCTAGTCTTTTTTTTTTTTTTTTAAATCTGTTTCCTCGTAAATGGTGCTTTTTTATACACCTCCTTATCCATCTAGTATATCTCTTTATATTTATCCTTGTGCAGTGCTGGAAGAAGGGTTCAGACTGTCTGCAACCTGGACAGTTGAATTCCAGCTGATCCCCACACAAGACTTTTTTTTTCTCTCCTAACTAAAATACTAGAAAACACAAGGACCAATTTGAAAATCTAGATACTCTTTCCAATAGTTCACCACTGAAAGCTTTCCAATATGTTATTGCTTTAGCAATACAGGTAGGTTTACTGGGTCTATACCAGACTAAAAAATTGAACAGCTATTTCGGGCCCTATATTCAGAATGACATTTCACCCATTAGGAACCAGTTGTAACACTCAAACATGAACTTCAATTTTGTTTTCCTTAATTCATATGCTTCTGGCATGTATCCTTAGTGTAAAAAGACCAGTAGATTTACCTATTCCTAAATAATTAATTCTTTTAGTGCATGATCACATTATATTTGTATTGCATATTTTTATGTATGAACTGTGTGAGAATGCGTTATAAAAAACATTATTTGTTTAAACATTGAAAAGCTACATTTAAAAACTAAGTGTCTTTTAAAGCTTTTGGCCTGGTCAAGTTTGTTTGATTAAGGCAATGTTGAATTCTGAGTCGATCATCACTGCTAATTACCATTAAAGGTAATTTTGTGTATCAGTAAGCCTAGCTATCAGTACAAGTCCTTATTATAGTTTATCAATCACATACGTTGGTTTAACTAATACAAGTAATCCAGACTGATGATTTTGTCCATATCTTCATCTAAATATTTTGCATGAGTCGTGTGCCCAAATACTAGCTTCTTCCTTAGAGCCTATCACAATTTGTGGTATAAACTTCTTCTTTTGTTGCAAAAGCTCATGGTGCTTTTTCAGTTTGTTATCTATTGAGAAAACAGTACGAATAAAATATTTTCTTCTTTCTTCAGCCAAAGAAAGTGAAGGATCCTCTCATTAAGAAAAACAACACATACACAGCTGCAGCTACAAGCTACACCCCTAATATTGCAAGGGACCCTGGGCTGGCAACCATTGCTAAAAGCGCAACAATAGAGCCCAAAGAAGTTAAGACAGAAACAAAACCTGCAGAACCCAAGAAAACTTTTAACAGCGTCAGCAAAATTGATCGACTATCAAGAATAGCCTTCCCATTGCTTTTTGGAATCTTTAATTTAGTCTACTGGGCTACCTATTTAAACCGGGAGCCCCAGTTGAAAGCCCCAACTCCCCACCAATAACCTCATTTATTCATCTAGCTCTGTTTTGTCTTTTGCTCTGGGAATTGCTTTCAGTTTTCACATACAGTAATTCCCATTTGCTTCATTGCTTCTGTCTTAAAGAAAATAAAGGTTTCTTCGTTTAACCAGAAGTAAAATATATCCGTATACGTAAAAACCCTTTGTCCAAGGGAGAGAACGATACATGCTATATAATTTAACAAACTGATTCCTAAAAAGGGAAAGATCTAATAATAAAAAAGGAAAGCATTTTAGATACCTTAAGTACTGACTGTCCCCAAGAGATATTGTATATGGACATGAAAAAGATATTTTTATTCAATGGATTGTAAGGAGCAGGATAGTATTCTTTACAAAGTCCATGTTGCATATACTATGCTGTACCATTCAACTGCTGTTTATAATCTTTTCAAGGATGTAAAGCTTCCCATTTGCCACATCCTTGCCGAAATAACATAAAACGTTATTTTCTTAATCCTTTGTCCCTTCTATACTCCAAACCACCTGATTTATAATATTAAATGGTCTTTAAAGAAAAAGGGAAATTATTCACTGTAGGTACAGTTTATCACTGTATAGCACATAAGATCTAATGGTAACAAATGCTTTAATCTGCTGTTTTACTGAAGTCTTGTTCTAAGCATTGAGTTGTCACTAGACTAGATTTAAAAAGAGTTGCACAATCAAGTGCATATCCCAAGTCCCCTCTATCTCCTGTGTAATCCAAAAAAATCCTGGATGCTTTTACAGATAGGTTTCATCATTATGTTTTAGAGAGTTAAAAAAAAGTCGCAAGCTCTAGATGTTGAATGTATTCTTTTATAAAATGATACATTAAAAAAGCTTTAGATTGAAATTTATGGATAGATGAAAGACAGAATATAGTATTTAAATAATATATGTAAATATGCAGCATGAGATTGTACTTTTTTTTTTTTTTTTTTACTTTTTTAAACTTTTGATCTTAAAACATTGTTTAGGATTCACCTCTTAGCTCTTAATATGTTACTTAACACTCAATAAAACATATTTAGAGCTTAGATGAAGAAAAAAGTATTGGTACTGGAAAGCCTAAAAAAATACATAGAAAGTGCTTGGAATTAATTCCATTTGTAAAGTGGTTAAGTGTACAGTAGTTTGCGATTTGACAATGTCATCTGATGTTTACTATTAGATTACCAACTGGTCTGCTCAGGTCATGCATAAATAATAAAGGAAGGGATTATATTTGGTAGGTTAAAAATGGTGAAATATTAAGACAGAAGTTCATCTGTATATTACTGCTATATTTGCTGATACATAACTGTTAACAATAAGTGATGTAATATATGTAGCATTAAATACAAAAACAGAAGTCATACACAAAAGAATGTACAGGAAAATAGATTTTATTGAGTAAACTTATAACATTTCATTTTTACTGTAGCAATATATTTGTAGGAACAATATGTAAGGGCTTTAAATACAAGATGTCCATTTTACAGGTACTGTGCTCCCTTAAAAAAATCTGGACAGTATCGCTATTGCTGATTCTTAGAAATAAAATTTCAGATAAAGATTTTTCAAAGAGATGGGAAGAATGATGGTGCAAGCATCAATTCAAAAACCATAATACATGGTACAGAATGAATTTTAAAACAATACTACATGGACCTCCAGAGAAACTGCGAACGAAAATCAAATTTCATAGGCGTGTTTCAGGCAATGTTTTATAAACTTTCTCAATAAATCAGAAAGTTGACATTCTCTATGTTAAAAAAAAAAAAAGAAAAGAAAAGAAATAGTTAATGTTTTATTTAGTGTGTTTTTTTTTTTTTTTTGATTCTTTTTAACGCTTCACTGTCTAACATCTAGTCCTGTCTAAACTTGATAAGTTATCTGATTGGATCTTATTAAAAGGGGATGTTTTCATCTTCTGGTATCATGTGTAGATATATGTATAGAAAAAATAAACTATGGCTCTTTAACTTCAGTGTACTTGTTTATCTTGTTATTTTTGGCGTTAAATTAGTGTGTTCATTTATGGCATTTTATCCTTCTAGTAATTCATAGCTACCTTTTGGTCTGCATTTTGCACATTAGATGTGAATATTAATTAACTAGTCTGCTTTTTGCTATGCAATGACTGCATAATATCACCTCTTAGTTTGTTAGTCTATGCCAATAGTATTATACTGTACAAACTTGATTGCAGAATTTATCAAAGATAAGGTATTCAATGTAGCTTTTTTACAGTGCTTTGCTAAACCATGTAATAATAGTAAGTCTTCCTTGAAAATAATGATACACTCTTATAGAGGACAGTTTCTGTTTACTCCTGGGATAATTTTAAAAAGATGACATTGAATGTTTATTGCACCTCAGTGCAGTGATGTGGCAATAAAACCTAAATCTAATAGAGGTTGTTTATGGCAGAAGCATGTATTGCTTTACAGAGTTTAGCAAAAGCTCTTTATTTTATGTCAGACTGTAATTCTATTATAATAATAAAGCTAAAAATGTTCAATAATGAAAGTGAATGTTTTACTTTGGTTTTCTTTAGTTACTGCTTTTTGCAATGCATTGCTGTATAAACAGCTATTCATTCAAAAAACTTTGTGTGGATTTTTTGTAATGAATGCAGTTTAATGGTTGTAATTTTTTGTTCAGTGTTTTCAACAGGAATATTTCCAAAATCTGATTTGACTTTCAAAAAATATTGTTCAGTCTACATTATGTATTTCCAGTAAAGCAATGAATTGAATCTGATGAACAATTGGTGAGGTTTAGTACCACAAAATGAATATGATATGTGGTAGGAAGAGAATAAAATATGATCTCTCCCACCTAAACAGGCTGATAGACCATTAGTAAAAATGTGGACCTTTTTATTATAGATGTCATATAAATATGGATCTAAGGTCTAAGAAAGACTGTTAGGACAGGACCTCAGGTGGTATAAAATAACACTATTTCACTTATTTAATGAGTTATGGGGATAGCATTTAGACATGTGCATGTATAGTTTAAAAATACTACAAGTCTTTATTTTCCACATAAAAGAATACAGATACAGGAAAAATCATTCAAGTGCACTCAGCCCTCAAATTTTCTTGGGAAAGTTCCTGGGAGCAAGCCTCATGCTCTTATGTAGAGGAAGAAAAACAACCAGTGGTAGGCATTTTTCAAAGGATCCAAAACAGGAAAGACTCTCATAAATGTATATAACAATATTTACAGCACTCTTAAGAAACTAAGTCTCACAAAGCAACTTACCAAAGTAGAAGGAAAGATAGCATTAGTATGGGCTCACTCACTCAATAAATAAATAAATAAATAAATAAATATATAAATTATTCTGCTTTCCTCTATTTTGAGAAAAGAGAATTATGCAGTCTGAATCCCTGTTCCTTGCCTCCTCCTAACTACGCAGAGCTGAATCCCTATGGAAACCCACACAGAATTTTCTGGAGGAGTAGGGAAGTGGCAAGTGACACCGAACATCCACCTCCTGTGTTCACATGCCAGATGCAGAGCATACATGAAGACTCCCCCACCTCCTTTATCACTGCTCAGACATTCTTGAGAATGTCTGAGAACTTGAGTAAAATGAGTGAAAAATACAAAGATGAAACAGGACTTGACTCAGAAAAACATATAGCACCATTCAGCCTCACGGAGTGGAAAAACAGCTCTGCCAGATGACAAATGCAGTCACCAGACAGTCCAGAATGACACCCCGACGTGGCATTGCTCTATGATATTACATCAATAGGGGAAAATCCTCTATTTTTTCTGGAAAGCTACTGAAAAAATGTGGGAGAACAAGATTAGCTCAATTTGAAATCTGCTGGTGTCTCCTTCTGTAACCTTATTTTTTGGCAGAGGATAAAATGTTTTTTCTCTCAGTCATAAGCCACCTCTCGTGGAAATGGAGAGATGATGAAGGAGACCATGTCCACAGGCCAGGATAACCTAATCATTAGGTTACAGAAATAAACCTCTTTTGATGTACATTCTACTTGTCTTGATCTTCTGGGGTTGATCACATTATCAGAATCTCAAGTGGTAATTCGGTGTGCTACACTCAATGCCACACTAGTACAGCAGGCTGAACAAGTCTGGCTGAGGGAATAAGTGTTTCACTTGCTATCAAAGTGCATACCTGCACTTAGCTGAAGCATCCATCAGCAACCTGGTAGCCATTTGGTTCAACAGCCCCAGCAGTCAGTGTCAAAGGGCAGCCATACTTTATACAGTCTTAGTCACAGAAATGCATGTGCATAAGCCACACCTATTGACAGGTTTAACAAAGGCAAAGAACTCTGATGTTTTGATGGGATGTTTAATATTGGGAGTGTCAAGCAAAACCACAAAAAAAAAACAAAAAAACAAAAAACATTAATTATATTAGCTTGCTTGGATTGACGGATGGGTAACCTGAGAAAAACTGTTTTCTCTTTAACTCCTCGTATTCTCCACCAATATGGCAAATAATAAAAGCTTATGAAACACTAACAGTCAGAAAATGGGGCATGCAGGCTTCGGGGAGCAAATAATAAGACAAATTCTTTCAGCTTTGGCTTTGTATCAAAATGACTGTCCAAATAAATTAGGGTGACTGGGGAAAGTTTAACTTTTTCTTAGAGGCTGGAAAAATATTGGCTACATTTTAAAAGACAAAAAATCTCAAGATCTCAGACTTTGTGTAATAGGGATGTAATAGGGATAGGGTAATAGGAATTTCCTTTTCCACAAAAGGGAAAACAAGAAAAACAACAACAACAAAAAAAACCTTACTATGCATAAAGGAGACAGCTTAAATATAAATGTGTTCGCATTCTTAGCACATGAATTTTGCTAGTGAAGTGTATTATCAGCTTGTCAAGCTGTTGCTGTCAGGTTACATCTGATTACAAACTGTACAATACAATGAGAGAGGTAAAAGCCTCTGAATGACAAGTTTCTATAGGCTCATTCACTCAGGCTACAGGCCCATCCCAACAGGCAGGATGACTTCACAGGTACTGGTAAACTCATTTGATTCAATTGCTCTAGGGCACTTGAAGATGCTCTGAGTAGATTCTACACTTGCAGCACAGCTGTCTGGTACAGGAATTTCACCCAAAAACTAGAGATGTGACCTCCCTAAAAATCTTCTTCTGACTGACCAAATTACATTGATTTTTAAATGTAAGTCTCAAGGGAGGAAAGATGTATTTGCTGGACTCTGACTCCAAACAAGGACATTTGAGTACAAACAGATAGGAAAAATTTCTTTCCAAGTGCTTTCATATATGAAGGACACAATTAAACTCAAGTTGTACAAGCCTAAAACCTGAACTAGGACTATGGTACTGAATTTGGCTAGAAGCAGTTTGCTGATTGCTGCCCAGAAAGCACCATCCTTACTACATGATTGCTTTACTACATTATTGTTTTACATCCCCCCGCTAGGTAATTAATGTAAGGTGTTTAAAAACAGAGAAGATATCAAAAACTTAAAGCTCCTATTTGATTACTGCTTGCAGCAGCAGAACACCACTTCTAAATAAGCCTCTAGGATTTTTTCTCCCTTGTAGACATTTATTAATGTAACAAGTTTTCCACAAGGATATGAAAAACTCCATCAAAAAAAAATGAAACAAAAAATATTTCATGGTCATCTAAAATCACAAATAAAACAAGTGAGTCTACAATAGAAAGATCCTTATTTTCTTCATGTATTTACCTTTTCTTAAAAAAAAGAAAATATTACAAAAACATAAAAAAATCATAGTAGACAAGGATCATTTTAAATGAATGCACAATTTCAATAAGGGAAAGAACAAATAGAGAAAGAAGTAGAGATATCTCTGCCAATTGTTAGTACCAGCCATAGGGGCAAAAATTTAAGCAATATTTAAGTAACATTTTGGAATAGGTTTTAAGCAACAAAAGACACCACCTACTTTTTGGATGAAAATGGTACAATTTCACTAGTTTCAGCAGCCCTTTTAGATTCCACCCCCTCCCCCCCCTTTGATATTGTTTCTCTAAATACAAGCAAAAAAGCCACCCATGAAATTCAGCTTCCTTTCTTTCCTGTCAGGCGGGCTAAAGCAGGCATGGAGATATGAGGGACACAGTTCCCAAAAGGTAATTGTGTACATCCCACAACAGTGTGGGAGTCTTACATAAAAATTGTTTCATACTGCCATATTAGAGCTGTTTTAACTACTCATAATGTTCAGCTAAGCCTCATGGAGACAACAAAATAATATGCAGATTAATATAAAAGCAAGGGCTTGATAGGATTTTGCTTCTTCATTTATACCAGACAGCTAAAGTAAGCTTTGATGAAAAAAAATATGCTATGCACAGCTATTCTGAAAACAACACCTACTGTAAGTCAGCCTGCTGATTTCTGCATATTTCCATCATCTCCTCCCTATTTTGCTTGATTTGTAAGAGCTTGGCTAATTTAGACTAAGCAAAATGTGTCCTTGGGTCATCAGGGTGTTTACCAGCTTGTTTGCAATTATCTTCTCTCCTAAGCGTCTCTTCTGCAGCAAGGCACAGAAAACAAATGAACACAACTATTTCAACAGTTTAAAAGGATACACTGTGTATTATGAGTAATATATATACATTGGTATATTTAGATAGCTGCAAAGCCAGAATTTTCACACCTGAATATGCTTATTTTACTACATCCATATGTAAATGCCAGATAAAAGATTCTGCCAGATTCCCAGCAGAGAAAAGTCTTTTTGTAGTTCCACAAGATAATTCCAGAGCTTCTCACCCATGATTTTAATAGCACACTTCTAAGAAAGAATAGGAGTTTTTCCCTGGTCATTGAGTTACTGAATCTCAATGGTTATGTTTATTTGTAAATGCCTCTAACCTTCCTTGGCCTTCTTTTTCAAGGGAGGTAGCAGGGCTGAGAGTATCCGCTTCCATTCTGGTTCTTGAATGGAAGGATTTTTGCTTGCAACTCCTGTCATTAGAAGTTTAAATTTTGAGCAAATTAGTTTTTATAACATTGAAACAGAAGAGAAAGATGATTGTGGATATTACAGAAACCTGGTAAACCAGCAATTCACATTTGGAGGTTTGTTCCAGCTTTAGTCCTGACTATCGACAGCTTCACACACTTCCTAGACAGAATTTCTCCTAGATAGATTTGGTCTTGTACTAGCAAAATAATTATATAACACAACAAAAATCTTTTCAAATGGTAAGAGCAGAATAAAACCAGTATTGGGTGCTTTTGAAAACTTCATATTTCTATCCATACACAGAATGACTTTTAAAGCATACCATGCCGCTAAATAATATTTAAGAGAAAGCAACAGAAAGCAGAGACTTTGACATTGCAGCAAGTTCAGCTGATGATTTTCTTAGTTTGTATTTTGCCAGTACATGGATGGGCCAAAAATCTTATTCTGGTAGGCACAGGACCAGTGCCATGAATACTGCATTGGCATTCCACAGAAACCTGTGTCTCAGGTGTCTGAAAGAGAAAAAATTCTAGTTGTGTTCATGCCACT